CAAAAGACTCTCTTGAAACTTTCCCCTTTTATTTCCATTCAAACCACTAAAAATCCCAACAATCCCCCACATGAATGGAGAATGTTGTACTTTAAAAACTATGCAAAATATCGTGTGATTCTCGACTAAGAATTAGTTGCATCGGAATAGGTAGGTTTCCCTTTGAACCTTCCTTAGTGAACATATATCGAGTATACTCACCAATCGGTAGATGTGATATCTTTGAACCGTCGGTTTTGCTTGTATACTAAGACAACATATGTCACACACCTAACTCTTATCCGTTCACTGGTTCTCATTGTTGTGTTCGTTTCAGCCATGAACACCGCCTGGTCTCATGAGTGCTTAGAAAACTGGCCTTCTTTTATTCTCCTTGAAGCGGCTCCACTTCACACTCACATAGGTGATTTCTAAACATGTATTCCGAAAATACACTATTTGATCACATCCTGTGTCAAACTTAGAAACCATTAAAAACCTTCCATCTTTAGGTTTACCCTTATAGTTGGACATTGTCTCATCATGAGAATGGACTTTGAATAAGTTGACAATGTCGGACCATCATTCACAACTTTGTTTTCTCCTTGAACTTAGAGGTTGGGTCTCCCAATCCTGCTTAGGTAGAGTTACCGCCATGATGATTTGTCCTAGGCCACGAGTCCATTCCCTTCGATGCTTTAACAAATTTCTAGGTGGGACCCACATTTGTTATCACTTGATCTACATGATCAACTTAGATAACTTTGCTAGAAATTGACCTTAGTATTATGTTTCCATTATCAATGACGAGATTTTTCACATAACACTTCTAGCCCTTGCAATAACAATTTTGTGCACAAGTGCGTTTTATTAACGCCAGTCTTTGCGGGCCAAACTACTCAACTTCACCGGTCTTAGAGTTTAACTTGGACGTTTTCCAAAATACTGCTCCTCGTTAACCATAAATGCCTATCCATTAATGGATTGCCTGTTGGTTCATCCGGTGAGTTCCCTTTGGGTACAATACACCAAAGACTCGTCTCTTTCCAATTCACTACACATCTTGTGAGCTTGACTTGATTTTATTATCTTGCAATAATCATAACACATGCCAACGGTATTGAAGTCTCTCCACTTCATTAACCTTAGAGTACTTAAGCTTCACAAGTATCTCTTCAAATGTAGTGACATTTATGACTTAGCTTAGAGTTTACGTTAAACTCCTAAGTATTCACATCACTTCACTTTGGAATCACCCAAGCGACATTCCACATCACTTCTCCCCAATTTATCCCCCACATTTCAACTATTTCGCCATAGTTGTTGAAACCAACGTTTCCGGGTTGGGGAATGTTGTTCATATACTATCATGTATATGGTCAAAATCATCTCTTTGGGAAGAGCGGATCAACATCAATAAATATTCTAGCTCGCTGACATAACGTCAATATATGCTAGAGTTTACTCATAAGTTATACCCTTGGACTGGGTTAACTCCATAAGGTTTAAGGACTCTCACGTTCTCATTGGACACCTTCATACTTTCAAGTATGACTTCGCTTACCTTTCCACTTTTGTCTTATGGATAGGTTTGCGTCCCATTGTAGGGTCTTGAGATAGTAGCCGAAACAATGGCTAGCTCCTCTCACCCACAATTCTACTATTTGCCAAACATCATGGAATAATCCCATTTATTTTCCCTGGTTTTACTTATTGAACTTGTCAACCACTATATGTATCTAATTATTTACCAATGGTATGATCTCACTCGATTAGCATACCACAAACAATTCAGATTTTATTAGAAAAATCATCCAATTACTTACCAATGGTATTGATCAAGACAACTTGAGACGTCATAAGTAATTCAGATGCATTTCAGTAATGGAAATTCCATCTAATTACTTTCCAATGACATTTCATAGACGTAACATGATATACCACAAGTAATTCAAACGAATTTCTATTTCAATTGTCTAATTACTTTCCAATGGTATAAACTTCATAAATATACCACAAGTAATCCAGTGTTTAAGTTCAATCAGATCATCTCAATTGAGCTCTCATTCCAAATTTTTTTCCAATGATATACATCTATATATACCATAAACAATTCTGGTAATTAGCTCCACGTTGATATTCATAGTCAAATTGTTTTCCAATGGTATAGTGTACTTATATCATAAGCAATTCTGACCTAATGCTTATCTTGATGACAACCATCATTTGGCAAGCTTATTAAATCCGTATAAGGATCAATCACTTCATTTTCCTTGCCCTCGTGGCATAGGAATCATCAAGTCCTAAATCACATGCATGATAAACAAATTATCATGTCTTGACCAACATCGTTGGAATTAGAATTCCTTGTCGCTTGTGGATAAACAAGCATTAACCAAACTTCATCTCCACACAATGGAGGTATCTTTTCGTACTATGTTCAATTTACTTTGAACATAACTTTTGCAATCAATTTGGAACCATTCCGGCCCAGATAGACATGATTCACAAGTCTCCACTTGCCACGCGCCATAGGTTTTACATACCTATGAATGTTCATAGTTTCCCACTAGATAGTTTATTACTATCCAAACCACCGTTACTTAGAGTCCATGAAGGACTATCATAAGTACTTCCATCACTCTCATGCATCACCTTGAATGAAAAAGTGTCCAAATTAAATTGGAACAATTATCATTCATCCATGCCACATAATTGAGATGGACCAATGCAATAAAAACATTAAAACTTTGTGGTTAATTTTGGAACCAAACAAACTCGTAAGGTTTTATCCAACTAATTTTCCACTTGGGAGATAAGAACATTTGTCCTTTATTCATCATGTAAATACACGACTTACATAGACACACACATATTAATACCATATGTATATATACACACATACATATGTCTACTCCTCAAAGGAGATTACAATACATATACAGTCGAAGTCAGGATCAGAGAGGCATTCATCGGTCGCTATGTCGGAGTACTCCTCCTCGTTCTCCGATTCCTCAACTTCCTCTTCTTCCCCCATACTCTCCATCGAGTCCACATGGGTGCCCAAATCATCCATATTAGGACCCATTGAGTACCAATCATATATGGGTATTTCATCTAGAGTCCAATAATTGGTTGGATGCTCTCCACCAATGTCATTATATAGCAAATCCCCGCTATCGTCATAAAAATCGAACCACTCTTCATTGTCAAACTCCATTTCAGAAGTAGAGAGATCAATAATCTCCGGATCTGATTCGATATTGATGACCTCTATGACGTCATCGTCATCATCCTCGTGAGTTGGACTCCATACTCCGGGGGTGCTACCAACCATTTTCTGTTCTAACAGAACGTACACAGTGATCAAATCAGAAACCAAGGGTTTTCTTTCTTGCATCGACAATTGCCACTTTTCCTTCTTGTCAACCATACATTTTCTTCCTTTCTTTCCTTTCCGGAGTAGAAATAGAAGAAATATATATAGACTCTCTCTATATATATCGCACACAACATATATATACATAAGGAAAAAAAATCTGTTTCATTACTTCAAACACCAATTCATGCAACGTATCATTCAAAACAATGAACTCATCACTCATGTATAAAAATTAATGGCATACACACGAACAGAGAATCATCGAATGCAAAGTTGCATGTGTAGGAACGGAAGGATTCAAAGCAATTATAAATAACGATATATATATATATATATATATATATATATATATATATATATATATATATATATATATATATATATATATATATATATATATATATGCATTAACTGCCACCATTCACATGTAAAAAGAGGGAACAGAAACCAAATTCCTTTCAGTACATGCAACAGAGTATATATATAAAGCATATATATCATTTATACTCACACTTAAAGGAAAAACCAAAAAATGTCCGTTTGCCAAATTGCTAATCTTACTAATCAGTAATCACAAATATAGGAAATGAAATTTCCTTTCAATGACTGCCGAGGTTTTTGCGAATTAGAACATAGACCAAATTTCTTTCTCAAGGCAGTCGAAGGGTTGAAAGGCAAACAATAAAGATATCTACCAACCTAGTATAATCTTGATCACCATTTCACAAAACCAAACAGACAAAGTACTAGTACACGTAAACAACGAAAAACATAAGATTCTTTAAGATTGTTGGGAAAATTGTTCACGTATACTATTTTCTTGCAACACAAGCAAACACATAAGATTAAGAAAAACATGCAAAGACACATGCAAGCGTCCTAGCCGATAGAATTCACTATCTCTCCTTAAAGAATCTTATTCCCCTCAAGTACCCAAGGTTGTGGAATGATTCCTCCCAGGATAGAAAGGATGTACCTTTTCCGGCGTAGCGGTACCTCAAACCCCGGAAACCATCGAACGCAGCGAAACGGCGAGAACCACACTTGACTCTATTTTCTCTTTGAAAAGAATGCAGAAAAACTAGTTTTGGATTTTGGCAGAGTTTCCGTACCGGGAAAAATCCATGTAAAACTCGTAGTTAAAACAAGAGGGGGTATGGTGCTATTTATAGAAAATGAAGGGATGCATTGAAGAGAGGCAACTCTTCATATGAGTGGTTACACCCCAACCATTGCATTGGTTCGTTTAAAATATTTCAACCATTGCATTGGTTCGGCCTCATGGAAGTTGGACCGGTTTGGTTATTCCAACCGCCATACCGGTTCGGTTCGAATTGGTTCAACTCGGTTTGGTTCATTTAGTTACACAAACCAATTTAACCAATTAACCACATATTACATCAAATCGATCGAATTCGAGGCCATGCCTTCCCACATCTTACCAACATGGTACTTCAAGAGACTCTCTTGAAACTTGCCCCTTTTATTTTCATTCAAACCACTAAAAAATCCCAACATTGTCGATGTGGAATTCGTCTAAGGTGTTACACAAAACCCAACCTCTTCTGGGCTCTTTTGCAGCGGGCCGAAATAAAAACTTAAGCTTATTCTTTCGGCCCAATCAAAACCAGGCTACTCGATCCGCCGAGAACAACAATTCGATCAAACCCGACCCGACTGGACTCGAGCTCTTGCACTGAAAATCTCCAGTTCCACTTCCGTCACTCTCGCCTCCGCCTCCCTCCATCGCCGAAACCTTCTTCAACTTCAGACCAGCTGGTTCACAATTAGATCTTAAACCCGCCTTAAACCCTTACCGCCTCAATCCTCGGAAAACCCATCCATTTCTCACTTCTTCTTCCTTGCTGCGAAACGGTAGAGCAAGAATGGTTTTATGCAGAAGCGCCAAGCGTCCGCTTCAGATGATGATGAAGGGAAGCTGCTCTTCTGCTGTGGAGTCGAGCTTCGAAACGTTTCTCCGGCGCTTCAGCTCTCAGGGTCCAGCGTCGGGAGAGCAGATGAGTCTTATCAAGCAACTGAGAGAGCGGACCAGTGCTCCGATCAAGGACGTTAAGGCCTCCCTTGTTGAGTGTAATTGGGACATTGGTAAGCAAAAAAAAAAAAAAAAAAAAAACTTGTTTGATTCTATTTGGTTTTGAAGCTTTTCTTGTTGATTTGGCTTGGGGTTGTGATATTTTGATGAATTGATGGTAGAGGCGGCGCAGAAGGATTTGAGGAAAAGAGGGATAGTTCTGGCATCGAAGAAGTCTGGTCGAACTGCGACTGAAGGGTTGCTCGCGTTGGCTCAGAGTGAAGGGAAGGCTGCCATTATCGAGCTTAATTGCGAGACTGACTTTGTTTCCAGAAATGAGATATTTCAGTACTTGGTAAAGCGAGCTCCCTCTTGAATTTTCTTTGTTACTCTTGGACTGGGAGTTCTTGTACATCAGTGGAGGTTTAACTGTTCTTGTTGCAGGCTGTATCTCTAGCAAAGCAAGCTCTGTTGGTGAAGAATGGTTCTCAGCAACCTTCAGGGGTACTGTCCGTTGGTCCTGAATCGTTGGAGGTGAGAGCTATTGACTGGAGCTTATTGTTAAGATGTTACTGGTACTTCCTGCATTGAGTAAGCCATTGATAGCTATCATTTGATGTTGTCCTGTCTGCAGGAACTGAAGTTGAATCTTGAGCATCCTAAGATAAGTGGAGAAACTACAGTTCATAACGCAATTACTGAGGTAGCTGCAATGATGGGAGAGAACGTCAAACTTAGAAGAGGGTTTGTGATGTCTAGTCCTGGTGTTCTTTCCACCTACCTCCATACAAGTCCTCAACCAGGTTCGCACTGAAGGGATTTATCTCTAGATACAGAAAGTTTGCATCCCTTATTTAACGATATTTTTCTATTCTGAATCATAAATTAGTATCTTTGTGCTTATAATACGAACTCATTGATTGAATTTAGGTTTGGGTCGTATTGCTGGGCTTTTGTCTCTTGAACCTGAGGTTGGAAGCTCTCACTTGGATGCTCTCCAGCGTGTTGGATCAGAGCTGGCAATGCATGTAGTTGCTGCAAAGCCCCTTTTCTTAACCAAGGAGCTCGTTTCTTCCGAAGCATTAGAGAGTGAGCGTGAGATTCTAAAGTCTCAGGTATGCAATCACTTCTTGTAAGCTAAGAGTGTGTTTTGGTGGTTTGCTCCACTTCTGATTTTAATATATGATGTTCATCAGGCAGAAAGTACAGGGAAATCACAGATGGCCATAGAAAAAATGGTTGAAGGGCGCTTGCGTAAATATTATGAGGAAGTTGTCCTTATGGAGCAGAAGTTTATTGTCAATGATTCTCTTAACGTCAAGGTATTAGTTAATCCCTCTCTACTCACATATGCTTGTGCTTGTACTCATGGCTTTCACTAGGCTCAGTAACAATGCTAATATCTTCCTCAAATCTATGCAGACACTGTTGAGCAATTTGTCCAAGGAAGTGGGTTCACCAGTGAAGATAGGGAACTTTTTCAGGATGGAAGTTGGAGAAGGAATTCAAAGGTAGCGGATAGTTCTTGTTTCCATAATTCTGTTGTTGAGAAATGTAAGGGTTCCTTAAGTTGCACCTTTGTCATTCAACAATGGTTGTCTTTCTCTGTACTTGTACTCATCATCCGAATTTCAATTAATGTTGGATCAACTTAGTAGCTCGAGACTCTAGAGATGATTTAGAAAGCCACTTGTTATTACTCTCTATGAGACTATGCCTAGGCAGAATGTTTTCTCTGAGATCATGATGTACATTGGTAGTTCTGCTGAATCATAAGTAGTCTTCAACTTTCCCTATCTGATGGCAACTATGAGCTGAACTATAAACTGTTTACGCTCCATTTACAGGCTTGATGCATCTGCAGATGAACCAGTGGCTCAAGCTGCGTGATTAGAGTGCGCCATCACTATTATTTGTGAGGAGAGGAGCTTTACATTTGGAGACCTATCTTCCTTTTTCAGTTAATGAGTTACTGTCTCCTTTCCTTACAGTTAGACCAACTTGATAGAATGGAAGCAAATCTGTACCATTTCTGATACATTTGATTCCCATAGATGAGTTTTGTTGACTCTGAGGATCATTCAATAAATAGTTTTCTTTGAATCTCATATACTTGACTTCTGATCCAACCCTTCTATCAATTGCCATTGTAGAAGCCTACAGGTTTTTCGTTAGCCTTGGGAAGTGGCAGAGCCGTCTATGTTTGCAATCCTACTATTCATGGGGAAGGGTTGGAATATACATAGCATCATAAAGTAGCACAGTTAGACAGACACAAAGACAGTAGCAATGAACAGGTTCTATCTTAATCCTTAACAACCATCATTTCTTACAGGAAATTATAGTAGCAGTTCATTCTTTTCACAAGATGGTTACAAAGGGGATGGAAGATGAAATGATTACAGCCAAAAGGGGTTTCATTCTAATGAAACTTGAGGCTAGTCAAGATATTGTTGTTGACAGGATCAGACAAGTGGTCAAGCAGATTCTGGTAAGGTCCAACACCAGTCACAAGACCCTGAATAAAGTAACCCAAGACAGCCAACATGGCCAACCTGCCATTCTTCACCTCCTTCAACTTCAACTCCTTCATCGACTTTTCATCTTTCCCAAACCCTAGAGGGTTGAAGATAGGTCCTCCAGGATAAGCAGGGTCACCTGAGCCACCCAAAAACTTCTCAAATCCCAAGAAATACTGCTTCCCCATCGATCCAGGATTGTACCAGTCCTGAAGTCTCCTGTGCTCGGCGAACCCCATCAGGGCCATCTCCAGGACAAAAAGAGTGTATGGGTCTGCCCAGTAGCTGTATGTTCCGGCTGGTGGGATGACCCCGGTTTGGAACCATGGGAGGGCAGTTTCAGCTGGGATCAGACCGGCTTTGCCCAATATTTCGGGGGCAATAGCACCTGCAGCTCCCAACATGGCGAACCGTCCGTTGATGATCTCGCCATAGGCTAGCCATTTCGGCTCGATGAAGCCTCCAGTGCCCTCGGGGTCTGAGAGACCCAGTGGGTCAAATCCGAAGTCACCTGGGAGGCTGCAGGGGGACGACACAGAACATTTCGCAGGTTAGTGAAGATCAGTCGCCATCTCAGTTTATGATATGATTAAATACATTGGTGGAAGTAGGATCTTACCTTCCGTCAAGGTAAGACAGACTCTGTTTCGATGCAAACCATAGTTGTCTGTTAGCTCCTTGCTGGGAATCAAACATAAGAATCTAGTTAGGAAGAACAGCCCACTACCCACAAACTGAAGCAGCTTAGTCAGTTCTAACTTTGTTTGTCTGGAATTATCCAGAAAAGAAGAAAAACCTTAAATTTCAGTAGCCAAAAGTGGTGGCACTGGAGGAGTAGGACTGTTCTGTATGATTCTATAGGGCAAAAAATTTCAGTGAATTTGTCAAAGTTGATGAATAGTTAATGTTGATTGTGAATAAAACTTGTTTCTGTGTACTTAGTTTGGTTGATGTTGTCTACTTTGAGTTAATAAGACTGTAATCTAGTTTACACTTGCATTCTCAGGGGGGACTAGACTGACCTTAACAGGGGGAGTAGACGCCGCCCTAACAACAAAGGAGCCTTTCCTGGATGACCCGAATGAAGGCTGGCCAGACCTTGATCCCAGGATTTGCCTGGCACTCTCCACCGAAGAAGTGAGGGAGGATGACACCAGAGCCTGTGCCGCCATTGTTGCCCTTTCAGAGGTAAACTAGTATGGCAAGAAGTTGGGGGTTCCCCTGAGAAAGAAGAGAATTTGAGGACAGGGGAGAATAACTCAGGGTTGTTCAAGATGAAACATGCACTACTTAGTGGCATTGAAGTCTTGGCTGGAATCAAGGGATGGCCCACCACCTCTTTCAGATTAGGTTAGGATCTGGGTATCCAACAAGAGTTGAACAGGTGGATTTGTTGCCAGGATAATTGGATATCGTCAGCATAGTCTGATTGGTAACAAGAGCTCCTTTGACACTTGGCTTTCTCTCAACCATTCTAATTCGATTTGTTGCCACTCTCAGCTCTAAGAAAAATCTCCTCCAGAATCCAGATTGCCAATATCTAGACCTTGGCCGGTGATAGGCTTTTTGGGGCCTTGTGGAGTAATACAGAATTGGGTAATAAGTAATAACTAGTTTAAATACATTTGCCCTTTCTCAAGTTTTTTTTTTAATTTTTATAGAACACCTAATTATATTAAATTACGAAACCATCAAAGAGTTGCAATCCGCCTTCAGTTGCGGTAAAACAAAATGGGGTGGCTTGTCTTCCCACAACTCTTGGGAGTTCCAACTACAAGTTATGTGGGCTACTTGATGCGTTGCACTATTACAGCATCTCTTAGAAAAACACTATTTGATCTCGCCCAACCTCTGTGCTTTAGTCCTTATCTCTTCTGTTAAGTGGAGATATTTAGGGGTGTTCAAATGGTTATCATGATAATTACCAAATCAAATAAACCTAAATTTCATTAACCATCGAATACAATATCATAACCAAACCGTCCAAACTAATAAAAGAATCAAATTAACCAAACTAAAGTTTAATCGGTTTGGTTAATTGGTTAATCAGATTAACTAATATAACATCACATTATCATTAAGTTAGAAAGTTTTCAGTTAATGCATCAATTCACAAATTATATTATGAATAGAACATAACAATCAACACATAATTATAGTTAATCCTTAATATAAATACATATGACTAATACAATTATCTTATCACACCCCCGCAAGACGGTGGCGGGTACGACGTCGATCTTGGAACGTAGAAGCTGGAACCGAGTAATGGGAAGTGGCTTGGTAAGGAAGTCCGCCAATTGATGAGAAGTAGGGATATGACGAATGTGAAGGGCAGAAGCCTGAACAAGGTCGCGAACAAAGAGATAGCCGAGGGCCAAATGTTTCATACGAGAGTGATGAATGAGATTGCCGGCGAAGTTGACAGCGCCAAGATTGTCACAATAGAGGACTGACGGAGCCGAGAGGGGATGATGGAGCTCCTGGAGAAGACTTTGAGCCCAAAGAACCTCGGACATAGCATGAGCCAAGGCACAATACTCGGCCTCGGTACCGGAGCGAGCAACGGAGCGTTGCTTCTTTGATTCCCAGGAAATAAGATTGCCGCCATAATAAACAAGAAAAGCCATGGTGGAGGTGCGATCATCGGGATCGCCGGCCCAATCAGAATCAGCGAAGGAAACAAGGTTAGAGGAAATGGATAGGGCAAGACGAAGACCGAGTGATGACGTACCCTTGAGATAACGAAGAAGTCGTTTTACATGCTGCCAGTGGAGAGTGGTCAGAGCATGCATAAATTGGGACAACTTGTTGACGAGTACACAACAAGTACTGGAGAGATCCAAGAGCTTGTTTGTAAAGAGTTGAATCACCTGGTGGAGAGCAATCAACAAGAGAGAGCTTGGCAATGGATGCGAGAGGGGTAGGCGCCGGTTGAGACTCGTCCATGCCAAAGCGGTGAAGTAAATCACGGACATATTTCTGTTGCGAGAGCAAATAACCAGAATCGGTGGGGATAACCTCGATCCCCAAGAAGTAGTTAACAGGACCAAGAGTCTTGAGAGAATCGGGAGGCAAGGCGAGCCTGAAATTGAGCAAGAGCGCGACCATCATTGTCCGTCAGGAGGAGGTCGTCAACGTAGACAAGAAAGTAGAGTGTGATCCCCCCATGATGATATATAAATAAGGACGCATCGGACTTCGATTTGACGAAACATTCTTGTGAGAGAAAGATAGACAGTGCCATGTACCATGAATGAGGGGCTTGGCGAAGGCCATATATCGCTCGAGAAAGATGGCATACATGATCAGGATGATGAGGATCAGTGAAGTCGGGGGACTGAGCCATGTAAACTGTTTCCTGTAGAGAACCCTGTAGGAAAGCATTGTTAACATCAAATTGCATAATGGGCCATCGATGAGAGAGAGCAATGGTGAACACGGTGCGGATGGTAACCGGCTTCAACACTGGACGGTAGGTCTCGTGAAAATCGACCCCCGGGCGTTGAGTAAAGCCTTTGGCTAGCAGGCGGGCCTTAAAGCGATCAACGGAAACATCGGGGGTTGCGTTTGATGCAAAACACCCAACGAGAACCCACAATATTAGTGCCGACGGGACGGGGCACAAGAGTCCATGTGTTGTTGGATAACAGACTCTGAAACTCAGCCGTCATGGCCGCACGCCACCGAGGATCAGCGAGCCTGCTTGAGCAATGTGGGCTCAATGTCAACAACATCCACCTAAGAAATAAACAGCCTTTTGGGCCGAAAAATACCATGCTGACTTCGGGTCACGGGACGGTGGGAAGACTTGGTCGGTGGTGTTGGCGGGGGACTGACCATGATGTGAAGAAGAAGCCGCTGGAGACGCAGCCTGTGGAGGCGTGGGGAGCGGTCTATGAGACGAGAGTGGCGACGGGGTGGCAACAACATGGGACGGTTGGGTGGAGGCCGAGGGTAAGGGAATGACGGTGACGGGCGGACTAGTAATGGCTAGCCAATGCGGTGGATCATAAGAGGGACCAGAATCGGAGAAAATACCTAGGAAAAGAGATTCCTCAAAGAGAACATGGCGGGACATAAATAGTCGTCGATTAATAGGGTCATAACAAAAATAGGCACTTTGAGTGAGGGAATATCCAAGGAACACACATTGACGAGAGCGAGGTGTGAATTTGTGTGGGGAATACTGGCGGAGCCAAGGGTAACACGCACAACCAAAACATGGAGCTTGGTATAATTAGGTGATTCATTGAAAAGGAAAAAATATGGAGTGGCACCATGAAGAGAAGAAGAGGGGAGCCGATTAATAAGATATGTTGCAGTTTGAAATGCATGAGACCAAAAGCATAGAGGAAGAGAGGCATTGTGGAGGAGAGTAAGACTTGTTTCGACGATGTGACAATGTTTTCTTTCGGCAAGACCATTGTGTTTGGGAGTGTGAGGTGGAGTCAAGAGATGAGTGTTGTCAGTAGTTTGGAAAAAGGAGCATAACTTTTGAAACTTACCACCACCATCACTATAAACACGACAAATAGTAGTATGGAAATAATTTTCAATCATAGCTTTGTAGGTAGTGAAAACACGGTGGACATCAGATTTGCGAGTAAGCGGATAAAGCCATGTATAGCGGGTAAAGTGATCCACAATCACCAAATACTAAGAAAAAATGATCATGCGAAAGAATTGAAGATGGACCCCATACATCCATGTATACAAAATCAAAAGGTCTCGAACTATTCAAACTGGAAACCGAGAAAGGGAGTTTACGGCTCTTATTTAGAGAACAAGAAACACACGAGAGGATAAAGATGTATCAGGGAGAGATTCATTATGAAGAACACTGAGAAAGAAGTTTGAGATGAGGATGACCCAAGCGCTTATGCCACACAGCAGAGGACGTGCGAGAAGCAGACAAGGCTAATCTAACAGGTGAGGCCGTCGCCGGTAACTCATAGACATCCCCTTTATTCTGGCCTCGCAACAGGTGTGCCCCCGTGGCTAGATCCTTTACAACAAAAAATCAGCAAAAAATTCCACCGACACTGGATTAGTCTTACATAATTGAGAAACAGAGAGCAGACAACGTTTGATTGCAGGGACACATAGCACATCATTAAGAGATAATGGAGACATGGCAGAAGACAAAGAAGCATTGCCAATATGTGTAATATGCAGACCTGACCTGTCGCCAATAAGGACTTCATCTGGACCATTATAATCTGTATATAGAGAGAGATTGTCGAGATCCGGAGTCATGTGATTGGTGGTGGCAGAGTCAACAAGCCAACTACTCGGAGTCGTGGGAACAACAGTCGTATGGTGAACTTGTGGCCGGCCATGGTTGCGATAAAAATCGTAGGTGAAATGGGCCATGCGATCACAAAATTGACAGATAAGCTGAGGCCGACCCAAAAAAGATGGAGCAGACGAATTACCAACATAGTCGGAAGACAAGCGAGCAAGGGAATAACCACGAGGAGGTCGTGGACTCGAGTTGCGCCGATCGGAAAATAGCCGCGAGAACATGCTGGGCCGCGATAGAAAGAGCCAGGAGATCCGGGACGACCACGAACGGAGGAGAACGCAGTGGTGGTGGCCGATGGTTGGGCCAGACGCACCGCATCAAGATCAGCCTCGAAGTCAACAAGGTAGTCATGAAGGTCTTCAAAGCAAATGGGAGTGTTGCGGGCATGAACAACAGCTGATAGATGATCATAAGCCTCAGGAAGACCACGAAGAACATACAAAATGAGGTCTTCGTTGGACACTGGATCATTGATAAGGGTGAGTTCAGCAGCTATGGTACGCATGGCCAGGAGGTAGACAACCACCAGACGATTGCTAAGAGTCTCGTGACCAAGTTTTTCTTTGAGATGAATGATGTGCTGGCGAGATTGGCTAGCAAACATGCGCTCCAAAGTCTTCCAGGCTTCATGAGAGGATTTAGCAGACGAAACATAGGGGGCAAAAGCAGGGTACATAGAAGCATGAAGAGCATGAAGAACAAGCTGATCTTGGCGATACCAGAGAGTGCGAACAGCAGGTTCGGCAGTGGCAGCCGGAGCAGGGTGAGTTCATTCGAGAAATTTGAGAAGATCGAGGTCACGAAAAAGAGTAAGAAGTTGCCCCCTCCAAGTGGGGAAATTATCATCATTGAGTTTGGTGGGAAATTGCGAGGCATGATTAAGAGTGATGATAGTATTGGTGTCATTGACGTTGATCACCGATTCGCCGAAATTTTGAGACATGGTTACGGCAGAGAAGAAAGAAGGAAAGAGGAATAGGGAAGAAGGAGAATATTGCAACGGTCGCTGGGTAGAAACAGAAGGGTCGAAAAATCAGATGGGAGATAGAAGATAAGAGATTTTAGTGGTTAAGGAGATATGAGCTTTTGCTCTGATACCATGTGAAAGCTAGGATACGTGTTTTCTCATTAGCTAAAGTGATGGGAATAAATACCCAAAGTACAACAGAAAATCTACCCATGAACCCACGTAGGCTACAAAGTCGGAATTCCCTAACCACCAACTATAACAGTTAAGTACAAAATTATTTAAACAAAAGTATTATCCTTATCATATTGAACATGATCTAAGAAGGAGGTTCGAGTATGATAAGGGACAACATAAAAATTGCGCAAAATCAGACGAAAGAAGATAAAAGGCCCTCACACGAGAATCTTGGACTGGATGTTTGACATTATTCCTTTCCCTCCCCAGTTCAATTGTGTAACATATCACCTATTTGATGTGGCATTCTTGTATAGCAAGGAATGAAAAGGTGTTCAGGAACACCAACCCCTAGCCTCCCACAATTGTAGCAAAGCCTCCATCGATCTCCACTCTTAGCTGACTTGCCCTAAGAGATCTGGTCCAGCTGACCCCTCCCCCAATCAGTCCATCCCACTCCCTGATCAAACTCCACCACCGCCAAGTAATTTGTTTTTAGGAATTCACTGTGATGGGTCGTTCTTATACGACCCCCAGGAGGTGGCTTATGGCGTTGTCATTTCGGATTGCCATGGTCAACTTTGTGATGAGAAGGCTGATTCCCTGCTTATGTAGCTCAGGTCTGGAGGCTGAGAAAAAAGGACTTACTTGAAGGGAACACATTGGCTAAGGATCTTTTACACCCCATCACAGTTCTTTCTGCTTGTAGCACATTGGTCAAGGCGATCCATTTGTGGCCTAATTGTTTGCCGTGGAAAGTTGCGGCATGGTTAGATATGATTGTTGACATGTTGAAGACCAATCTTGCTATTCTTGTTGCCTCCGTTCACAGGAAAACTGAACGTCAAGGTTGATTGGGTGGCAAGATCATGTGCTCGTAAACAGCTCCCTACGGACTGACTTACCACTCTTAATGTTTTAACTCCCCTCTTGTAATAGACTTTGATTTTGACCGCCTTGGCTAAAATACATACATTTTTCCGTAAAAAAAGAGGATAAAAAGCCAATATTGACTCCAAGGTGCAAATGATCTCACAAGTAACATGAAAATCATATGATAAGAAACAACAAAGATAAATAGGATGATTTTATTAAAATAGTAGGAAAAGAATTTTGTTTCGTGAACATTGCTCGATTCTCAATGGAACAGTGCAAAACCCCTGCAATTGTGATTCTGATTCTAGTAACCTGGGCTAGTGGCCACTATTTAATCTATTTCAATTGGGTCGGACAAAATATTTTGTGCGAGCTATGGAATACTTTCTAAACATATGAGGGTTCGATTTATAGATTCCCTCGAAGAGATTTGTGGGCTTATGGGTAGAAGAAACACAAAATTTAGAGAGAGACGAAAAAATGACTCAACCGAGATTGTACAAACACATCGTAGAAATTTTAACGCTAATAGAGACTTAAGGTCTCACGAGGACAAAGAAGTGAGAGTGTAGGGACCAAGAAAGACTAGGCTCCAAATGATGCTCCTTATTCAATATTCAACATGGATCTACAAGTGAATGATGATTTATGTTGGTTTATCAAAGCGAAGAAGGGTAAGTATCGATCAAAAGAGCATATAAAGGGTCGAGGGAGGTGATGTAATTGCGTGTTAGGATTCATTAAAATTTAAACAAATACAGAAGAATTGTTCCCTACACTGTATCTCTATCATTCTTCCCTCTCACTTCGTCTCCTTCTTCTCGTCCCCTCTCTTGAGCGAATCCCCTTCACTCTCTTGTTCTTCCCCAAATCCTTCCTAATCCTATCTTTTCCCAAACCCTAATTCTCTCCTAATTTTTAAACTCCAATCTCCTTATCAATTATTTATAACGTTCTAGATCCGGTTTCTATAAAATGAACCCCCATAACTTGCATGAAATGTTTCTTTACTTTTGCACTACTGAAAATTATGTTCCTTATGGGGACATGTTCTTGCATAATTAAATCGAGGATGACAAGCTATATGATACATAAAATTATATATTTACCAATTTGGCCTCAATTTTATATTTGGGGCTAAATCGAATACAAGGGAAATCTACAGGGACCTCAAAAGTCAAAATACAATTAACGTCCGCAAGGGAAATGATTGGTCCAAGCGAGCGCGAGCGTTAGAAAAGGGAGCCGCGGACGGAAAGCTGGAGAAGAAGCGAAGTCGTTTGGATCCGTCCATTCTCTCTTTCTTCCGGCGGTGGCGGCGGTAGACTCTCCGACTAGGGACGACCTAAGGGAAGATAGGGGGTTGAAACCAAGGCGCCGATAGATAGATAGAGACAGGATGCTCGAAAACCCTACGCCTGCAGCAACTCCCGCCGATTCCTCCGCCACCGTCAAGAGATATGCTCCTCCCAATCAAAGGCTCGTCGTTCTCGCCTTCTCAGCCTTGCTAAATTTCCCGATTTAAGATTGACCTTTCTATCAAAATTGGTGGTGACCCTTATGGTCTGTCTGCTGCTGCGTTGAATTTTTGCAGGAACCGGTCTCTCAACAGGCGCAAATCAGGAGGTCAGCTTTTACTGTTCACATTTTAATCTTGCAATGGTGGCTATCTGTCGTGCGCCCTTTTCTTCTTTTGCCCTTCTTTGGATTTGGTTTCAATCGGGTTCGGTGGTTTTTGCTTTACATTTCTAAAATGACAGCAGGGACTCAGGAAATGATAGTAAATAGGATAATGCTTTGGTAGATTGTCAAGCATGGTGTCGGGTTACTAGGAAAGTTGCAAACTGTATTTGCCAGCTTGCCAAACTCAGAAGATATAATGTATGCACAACTCGTAGGAGAATGGTGCATAAATTGCTGAACTCAATTATGCGGGTGAATGGTATCCCTAAGTTCTGCATGGAAATTGTCTTGCTAGTACTTCTAGCCTTCTGTGATTAGCTGCTTTTTTTGGGTAGGATTAAGGATTTGCATAGTTGTTAAATGGCTGGTTTTCAGGTCTGTTCATCTTCGTTGACTGATTTGTTCCTTGCCTCATCGATAACCTTTATTGCTTAATGGAGGACCCTTTTGCATTCAGCGCTGTCTCATTACTGTTCCAAGCTTTGCTTGATCTATGGATAACAGTATATGATTTGGTCAGTTAGATCTAGTTGGATTTGTTTGCCAGTTGGTAACAGGTGTAATGAACTCTAGATTGGGTGATATGCAGTGAATTTCATCACTTAACCCTTCTTGGGTAAACTATGGCAAGGCTAAGATTATACAATAATTTTATTTGAAAATGTATAAGATGGTGCTGTATGATGGTATTGGTTAAAAATTAAGTTTTCCCTCATCGCAGATCGAATTGACCGCTTCAGCAGTTTTTATGGAAATGATGGAGACAAGATTCAAACACATACCTCTTCAAGAAATATCCTGGGCGTAGATCGTGGGGATGCTGTAATTCAAACACTTCAGAATGAAAACTCACAGCGTGCTTTAGTAGCTTTAGAAGGGTGCTGTCACAGTGATGCTTCTCAGCTGTTAAATGATCGTAAGTTCTACATGCGACCTATTGAATAATATGTATCGTGCTCCTTTTGTTTAATCATTTGAGTTTATGTTAGTGTACCACAGTGTGTTGCCACATCCATCTTTAATGTGTTAACTTGATCTGCTCAGACATTTTACTTGATTTTCTGTCAATTAGCAAATAGATTCCTTATCCTGTTTATACCAAATAAACATAATAGTGGTTTTGGTTTTAGAAGTAACAGAGTTGTTGTTTTTTTCCACCCATCTCTTTGATCTGTAGTTTCTGTCTGGAACTTATTATCAAACTGTTCAGTTCCATTGGTATCTTCAAGAGTTACTTTAACGTGAATGTTTGATACCTAAGAACGGTTGGCTTCTGGGATATCAAAATAAGATAGAATTGGAACACTAATCAAAGTAAACGAGATTGGTGTACGTACTGCATGTAGTTTTCTGTCTTGCTTCTAGTTGGGGTTTGAAAAGCTTGATCCCATGTTCTGGAAGAGGAATGTTCCAGAATATTGGGATCGATTTTGTGTGGAGCAAGCTTTCTGTTTTAGTTTATAGTATGCTGCATTTGTTGAAGCACCTGTATTCATGCCATCAGACCAGTCTAACCATTATTTGTTTAACTGCAGGTTGGGCAACAGTGATGCATATCTACAATGATCCCACTATAGATTTATCTGGTCAGTAGAGAATCACTCTGACAGTTTGATCCAATATGTCATTTACCTAGTCTTTTCTTGCTTAAACAACTAGTCAATTTCTTTTGAAGATCTATTTTTAACTGCGGCTGTCATGTCGAACTACCCATGTAACTCAATGCTGTTGGTGTAGCTTAATACTGGATTTTTCGCTCTGAGCATTCTTCAGTCCTTTCTTCTCCCCTTATATCTTATTTCAATATTATGGAGAACGGAGTTACTCTTTCTTTGTTTTGAGGTATGTTATCGGATTTCATGGAAGTGATTATAAATGCTTCAATGTGTATCGGTTAATGTTGTCTGAACTGAAGGAGTCATCAGATTCTGTTCAACGTGTATTTGCTTTCAATTGAGTTTGTAGGCTACTCTGTTCTAAAATCCCAGTTCAAAGCCTGTTACTTTATGACTCCTATAACTAAAATATCGATTAAAATTTCATCCACTTATGTTGTAGAAAATAAGTTTATTCTTTTTTTTTATCAATGTGCTGGTCCTGTACCCCTGGCTTGATGAATAACTTGCTCTAGTTCCCTTTCCAGAAAGACCGGTTCTCTACTCAGGTGGTGTATCGGCATGGGGGCAGTTTAAACTTCCACATCAGGTAAAAAATAACTCCCAGCATGGAGCCTCTCTCTCTCTCTCTCTCTCTCTTGCTAATGAAGCGTGACGTGAATTTGGCTTTGCAGATGATGGCTGCAGCAAACAGTGCAGGATCTTCCGGTTCCCAGATGGACTTCTTAAGTGAACTTCGCCGAGCAATGCACAATGCCAATACTGGTTCTAACAGCTAAGATTATCTCTTCTAATTGAGTGAATCCCTTGTAACCCAGCTATGTACCTGTCTTATATACTTTGTAGATTCTCTTGTGGGTCAAGTTATATAGAAAAAATAGTGATGGATGGATGCTTCAGAACTGTGGCTGGTTTGGTGTAGACATGCTCCATGCAGAACCATGTTAATGCCCCATGTTATGTTATTTATGTGAGCAGAATGAGTTCCATCTGTATTCGATTGAGCCCTGGCACTTTGTTTGCATAGCTGATATGGTTGCCCTAATACAGCTGGTGGAACTATTAATTTACCTTAGAAGAGAAGGGTAGTGAGTAAAGATCCTTTCATTCATTGGCAGGTTTGCATCTATATTACATGATTCCGATGGATGAATGCCATTTGCATCTATTCTTTCCAGACAGGAATGATTCCTTGAGCTGCCAAACGCTTTTCCACCCAAAACACAACATGTCTTGCTGTGATTTTCTTCTCGTCAATCAGAAATGGCTCAACAGTGCTGGCTCCTTGGCCATAAGAGGAGATGGAAAACCCCCTTGCACCTGCAACAAGTAGGAATGAGTATCAAGTTGGGCTTGTTGTGTTCATGGAAAACATGAGGAATTTGTTCAAATACAACTTAAATAGGAGGAGAAAAGGTTACCTGTGAGGATTCCGTCAGGGAAAAAGGCCCAGAAAGAATATGGAATGCTCTTATTAACAAATGAACCTTCCAACTGCAACAGAGAGTTAACCAGTAGACTAAAAGTTAACCAAATTCTGATCCAGTGAATTTAGTTATCCATAAAAAGTAGTAGGGTTGAAAGTTACTGTGTTGTCTTGGAAGGATAGTTGAAGTTCAGAGATGTCATCTTGGACTTCAAGTGTTGATTTCAATGAAGGAATCACATCCTCTTCCATCATCTGAGGCAATGGCTTTACAGGAGCTTTAGCTGCTGGTTTTGGCTTTGGCTTGGCTGGAGCTGCTTCTTCTTTAACTGGTTTCACTTCCTTCTTCGTACCTTCAGCAACTAATCAAGGAAGCACAAGCCAAAGTAAAATGGATGAACCCTTTGAATTGAAACATTACTGCTTATTGGGGGCTTCAGAATTTGTGGCAGTAAACTTTGGCTTTACCTGTAGAAGTGGATGACTCTTGCACAGCAGAGCAGCAGGTGATGATGGTTGTTCTTCTCACTGTCATCAACTTGCTAACCATCGGCTGAACAAACTTCAACACATCATCCCAGTGAATTCCGAAAACCAAAACAACATGATTGTATAGTTGAAACTTACATACCACTGGAATGATGGAGCAAGATGAAGAAGTGGTTCTGGTTTTCGTCATGAAGGATGATGGAGATGAAGGGAAGCTCGAAATCCCCATTGCTCTGCCTGCACTTGCCATGCTATGGACCGAATTCTATAGCCCGGAATGAAGCTGTAGAGGATGCCTGATTTCTTGTATACTTACTTTCTTCTTTCTTCAATTAAGGCTTTCACAATTCATATGAGCAGGGTGAAAGAGAGCTGATTGCAGAAGCTGGAAGAGAGGCAGTGAAGGAATGTAGAGAAAGAAAGAGGGTCTTCTAATCCACAACCTGCTAGTTACAATATATGCCACTGATTTCCTTTTGTGTATTACTGCCCAAAATTGTGGGTACCTTTAGGCTTGGAGGGAGAAAAAGAAAAAAAATTTCAAAGGCTTCAGTGGTCCACCATATGCTGCCCATCAGGGTCACTCAACCTTTGTCCCTTTGCTTTGTATCGCAACCACCACTTGGCTCCAAACCTTCTACTTGCATTACAACACAACATGGCAGTGGTCTAAGGATAAATTTTACAGGATACGTAGTCGGTATAGCAATTATCACTCTCATTACAATGCTACAAAAAATTACCCTTCAAAACTACCCATATTTGCCATCAACTCCCAAAATAACTTACAAGGTGTACTGAAGAGTACAAAGTAACCCCAAGAGAATCAGCAATGGATGCTACTGTGGAGAACATACATTTCAAACCGTCGAGCATGAAATGAAGCCTCTCCCAAGCCCCTCGGCTGAGAACTCGAAAGCTTGAATCAAAATGCTCCGTTGGCTGTCTACGAGTCACATAGTTTCATGGTCACCTTTGTTTACTGACCTCTGCTACAACAGTGTTGCTTGTGGTCATCACTATTCTTGAAGGGCAGTTGCACAAGTTCACATACACTGCTTCTAGAGGACGTAAAGCTTTATCATCGTCCCCTCAACAAAGCATGGACCAAGACCACTAGCAATTGTACTCAAAACGTAAGAGGGACCACTAGTTTGGTGTCATTTTCTTGGCTTCTTCAACTTCCTTTCTGTTGGGGAATTCATGGTGATCTTACTTTGCTTGAACTTCTGAACCATCAAGTAGACCTGCACTCAAGAACATAAGTACCAGGAAGTTCACCCAGAAGTCATAACTCGTGAACATATGCTCATGCCTTTGTGGTTTCAAATGGCATACTTGTTAATTACCTTCTTCACTCCAGTTGTCAATCCCAAACCTGAAAGAGCCTTACTATCCACACACTTCCAGGAAACTTCTTTCTTTTGCTCAGGAAGTATGTCAGACATCTCACCTTCACATTAGAGTAACAGAATTATCAGAAAAGAGAAATTTGCAGCAACCAAGTGAAGAAAGTTTGGAGCTTTGAACTTAATTAGGCAAGATATTCGGACCTGTAAGCTGTATAACTAACAACTCCACGTAAACCTTCAGACGAATGTGACTGAAAATATGAACAAATTCTCCTACATCTTCCCTTTCAATAACCTTATAACTCCTTTTTGGATCAAGTCCAAATGATTTCTTCAGAAATGGATCCGTGACTTCTCGCCTTCTTATCAAGTCAGCTTCTTTGTCCATTAATACAGATGGAAACTCCCAGAGACCAGCAAGCAATCCTTCCTCTGGCCTCTTCACAAGAAGAAAATGACTACCAGAAACTTCCTTCTTTCTTGTTTCCTGGTAACCTAATATCTCCACAACACAAACAGCAGAATACTCATTTCTTGGTTTTGCCTTCATGACCTTGGTGGGGTAATCTGTTACTGGGATTGAATTGTCCTGCTTCGAGGTTATAAGAGCTCTGCAATGGCTAGAAACAGGACAGGAAGAACAGGTAGGGTTCAAAGGGGTGCAGACAGTTGCACCAAGTTCCATGAGGGACTGGTTGAAGTCTCCAGGACGATGAACATCCACTAGTTGAGCTGCTAGCTTCCTGGTTCAATACGAAGTTGCATGAGAAAGTCGGATAGAAATGCATGCCTTCTCAACATACACCCGCTCTAACAATCACTAGTTTCACATGGTATTTCGTAATAGGAAAGACAAGTAGAGAAACAAACAGAGAAACTTTTCCTAACCAAAAGGTCTTCACCGTTGCTGCATCCTTAGGATTTGCGGAAATTGCTCTCAACCTAGCAAGCACCCTTATCACATTGCCATCAACTACAGGCACAACCTGAAATTACGTATTTAAGAAAATGCCTTCACTTTAATAAACATAACAAAGAAATAAAACAAATGCAATAAAACTCACTTCATTGAATGCTATAGAGGCAATAGCACCAGCAGTGTAGTTTCCTATCCCCGAAACCTTCCTCAGGGAAGCAACTGTGCTGGGAAATCCATCTCCTTCATCAACAATCATCTTGGCTCCCTAACAAGTAACCCCAAATTTGAGCCATAAATTTCTCTTCCTTGGCACACCAGCAAATTCTCAACTATGAACCAAGATACAAACTTCTACCGACAAGAGAAGGACATTGAGAGCAAGAAAACAAAAGGATCCACAAAAGCTCTCAGCTCTCATATCAGCATAATAAAGTCTGCTCATTTCAAGAGCAAACCTTGAGTTGCTAATAAAATGGCTAGCCAAAAGACAGCCATTTTAGCAGCGGGGGGAAAAACCAGTGAAGCAACAAGCTTACCTCCAGTAGAAACCGTGCCCGCCTATAATAACCGAGACCCGCCCACATCTCATTAACCTCCTGCACAAGCAATTCACAAATCGAATTGTCCTTTCACCATAACGGGGAGATTCTCAAACCAATGTATCACAAACACCACCATCCCCCTAAATGCCAACACTTTACCTCGAGAGAAGCCTGAGCTAGAAGCTCAACCGTAGGCCACTTAGCCATCCACCGATTATAGTAATCAACCACCGTCTGAACTCTAGTTTGCTGAAGCATCACTTCAGAAACCCAAACCCCATAAGCCCTCTTCACCTTCTCTTCTTCCCCAACAATTTCTTCCGCCTCTTTTCTTCTCCATGGAAGCTTCCTGTGGTTACAATCGTACCATTCCAGCATTGATTCCCTGATTTCCCGGGTTTCTCCTTCGCTGAATAGGTCTTCGATATCTGCCACTGCAACGCCTTTTTGCTCATCTTCTTTTGCAACTTCAGCGGCGGGAAGGTCATTTCTTTTTCTTCCCTTCATCACTTTTTTCGGTTTAGAGGTTTGTGGTTTTTTGGAAAAGGTTGCTTCTTTGGTTGCTGGCAATGGCGCCATGAACGTCTGCGAAGTAGGAATTTCGAATCCGCTGAATTGGCAGACGGCCAAGTCGCATACCCGCATTCCTCTGGTCTTCCTCCAGTTATGGAATGTGTGTGGAAATAAAAGCATCCATGGATTCAAACGGCCTGTCAAATGAGACAAGAAATTGTTTTTGGGCCCCTTATAAGGGGCTTGATTACCGAGGAAGTATTTTGGGCTCTTAAAACAAGTTTAATTGTCCATTGTGAAATGGGCCATATCGAGGAAAACACACATATGTTTTTGGGATTTTTCTAGAAATAGCACCTTTAATTTTTTTTTTATAAAAATAGCACCTAATCCGTAGAAATTACAAAAATAGCACTCTTTTTTAAAAAACACACCTCCTAGTGCGTTTTATATGTAAATCGCACCCCTTGGTGCGTTTTGTATGTAAACCGCATCCCCAATGTGCGGTTTAGCATTCTGGGCCAAAACCGCATCTTGGCCATGCGGTTTGTGTGTCTGACCTAACCAAACCGCATGGCCTAGGTGCGGTCTTGTGCTGACCTAACAAAACCGCACTTTGGGGATGCGGTTTTGCTTCTCCAAAATAAAATGCGGTTTGTGTGTCAATTATTTTCCGACACCAAACATATAGCCATGCAGATTGACAGACGTGGGGCTGCATGGCAGATAACCACACCTCTAAGGTGCGGTTTTCATTGATGATTTTGTCTATAAAAAACAGCGCGGGAAACCTCTTCTCTTCACACCTCTCTTTTTCCCTTTTCAATTTTCTGTTGTAGCTCCCTACTTCTCTCGTGTTTTTGCGGTTAAAGTTAACGTGTAAGTTTATTTGGTATTGCTTTTTATTGTGAATTGTGAATTGTGATTTTTATGATATTAGTTGAACTACTGTTTATTTTTTCAGATGCCATTCCAAAAGTTCACGCTTGGGTTACGGTGGAATGGTTACACGGAAGAGAGCGGAAAGGGGGTCACCTACGTCGGTGACAATTTTCAGAAAATAAAGGTCGCTACCAGACCGATGCTTGAAGACCTCTATCAAATGTGTACTAACGTTACTTGCATGGATGGCACGAGAAGAGTTGATCGTATGGTGTACCGATATCCAAACAGAGAAGGCGGGTCGTTGTGGCACGAGGAATATCTCATAACCACTCAGGATGAAATAGATGTCATGCTCGAATTCTTGAGGTCCAACAATCTTTCCAAAGCCGAGATGTTCGTTTACACCGAGCCGGTCGTAGGCGTTGGAGGTCATTCTGGAGACGGTCAAACATCTAGTATCCATGGTGGAGGTGAATCATATGGAGATCATCCCTACCAAAGTTACCATGATCCTCATTCCTATTTTCAGTACCAAGAGCAAGGTGAAGGTCATCATCAATCTTTCCCGTCATATGAAGAAGAAGTTCAACCGGACCATGCCAACCAACCCCAGTACAACTTCCAATCAGGCAGCGGTAGTTTTCACAACTACCATTATGGAGCTGATGAAGGTGTCTTTCATGAGCTAGATCAGATGGAAGATGCCCTGCCAGCACAAGTCAGTGACCCCTCCGATGAAGAAGGAGAGAACAACGTCAGTGCAGACAACTCCGTCCCTCTTGAAGGTGTTGATGATTCAGGACCAGAGTCAGACTCAGATAATGATGATGAGGTGGCTCTTGACCGTGTACCAGTCCCCTACTACAATCACATTCCAGACAGCAATTGGATGGTCGACAACGACATGGAACCCCCAGAGGTTCCAGTATGGGGTCCACTCACTGGGTTTATGAAGGGCCAACAATTTGGCTCGAAGAAGGAGGTGCGGCACGCCATTGATACTGAAGCAATGACTCGGCATTTTGAATGCACACAACTCATTCCAACACGAAAAGGCTCATAGTCAGATGCCGTAATCATAATGAGGGATGCAATGTTAGGATTCAGGCCATCAACAACAAGAGACATGACCATCGGGTCGTATCTCGTGCGGTGAACACACACATGTATAGCAAAATAAAAGAAAGACAAATGATGAAGAATTGTATGTACCTGGTGATCGTTCCAAACATCCTTTGAACGATGGTTGGGTTGGTCGTACAAGTCGGTTTGGATCAATAGGTCATTGATCCAAATAATAGCGTTGGTTGTATATATCCACGTCGTCCCCAACCTACGAGAGAATAACAACAAGGTTAGTACATAGATTAATTAAAAAACTTATAACAAAAACAAAAATTGACCAGCATACTGAGTACGTACCGCTTGAAATTCATCATAATTAACTCCCTCTCCTTGGAACCACTCGTCCATTTTTTCACGAAAGTTGGACAAAAATTTGACGGGTTTTGAGGGAAAAACCAAAGAAATATTTTCTGATGGCAGATTAGACTTAGCCGCAACCAACAGACCACTATTTTCTATGCTTTTGGGAGGGGATGGGTTAGAGAGATAATTTTAGAGAGAGAGTGAAGAATGGGTTGTGGTGTGAAGAAATGAGGGGGGGGGGGGGGAAGGGGTATTTATACTCTTCAGACAGCACCCTCCAGGGGCGGTTTGGTAATTTTTCTCTGCCAGAAATCGCACCCTCCCGATGCGGTCTGCGTGGATCGAGGCGCTGACCGCACCTGCCAGCTACGGTCTTCGATCCGTGGCGCGGATCGCTGAGGTGGCAAGCGGTCCGACGCTGGATTGCCGCCTGATCCTGCGGTCTCCGAGCCAGCTCCCGAGGAAACACAGACCGCACCTTCCTGGTGTGGTTCCCAGTCTGACGTGGCACAAAACGCACCTCCAAGGTGCGGTTTATACATGGTGCGTTTTAATTATAAAACGCACATTGGAGGTGCGGTTTGATAAAAATGGTGCTAGTTTTGTAAATTTTGTGGGCTGGATGCTATTTTTGTAATTTTTTTAATAGGTGCTATTATTGGAAAAATCCCTATGTTTTTACAAAAATTTCTCAAAATACACACGTTATAAAAAATTTGCAATCTACGCATATTTGGGCATTCACCGAGGCAAAGAAAGGCGGTGATTGCATCACCGCAGGTGAAGGCCTATCCTGCGTCGAAACTTTAAACGAACGTAATTTTGTGCTCGGTTATCCGATTGTAGCGATTTTTTTTTATTCCGCATAACTTTTCGAGATCTTGCAAGCCGCAAACCGCCGTAGGAAAGGTCTCGTGTTCTTCCCGAAAAAACGTCGTTTGCTATCCCGAACGAGCCTTTTTTCGATTTCGTCAAACTTTGAATGATCATAACTTTGTGCTCCGCAATCCGAAAGTTATGAATTTTTATTATTTCACATAACTTTTTAAGGACTACAATTTTTAGTAGTAGAGAATTTCCAAAAAATGAATTATTTTTGGATATACGGGGTTTTGGGAATAACTTTACCTTCCCTTTTCAGGAATCCAAGTATATTCCGAAATTATGTCTATGATAAAAATTGTAATCATTAAAAAGTTATGTGAAATCAAAAAAATATTCATGACTTTTGGATTGTGAAGCACAAAGTTATGGTCGTTCAAAGTTTGACGAAATCGAAAAAAGGCTCGTTCGGGGTAGCAAACGACGTTTTTTCGGGAAGAAGGCGGGACCAAACCGCGTACGGCGTTTGCGGACTTGCAAGATCTCGAAAAGTTATGCGGAATAAAAAAAAATCGCTACGATCGGATAACCGAGCACAAAGTTACGTTCGTTTAAAATTTCGACGCAGGTCAGGTCTTCACCGCGGCTGTGTAACTTGGTGAAGCATTCGCCGCCTTTCTCTACAGCGATGATGCAATCACCGCCTTGCTCTGCATCACCGCCCAATCACTGCCCTCCTCTCCTGCGATGATGCAATTACCACCTTTCTCTGTCGCGGTGAATGCTCGAACATGTGTAGAACTAGATTGTGAATTTTTTTCATGTATTTTGAGAATTAAATGTGTATTTTGGGCCCATATTAGAAGCTTTACTGCCTCCAATAAGGCGGCAAAAGAATGTCGATCTCTATAAAGCTTCCGATATGGCAAAAAAAAAAAAAACACGTAAAGCTTCCTGGAAATTATTGTCAAATTGTTCAGCTACATTGGTGTGTATCTCCAGGGAAATGGAATGAGGAATGTTTGATATTTAAGAAACGGTTGGCTTCTGCCTTCTGGCTTCCCAAATAAGATGGAATTGGAACACTGATCAAACTAAATGAGATTGGTGTACATAGTGCAAGTGGCTGCTGCTCTGTCTTGCGAGGGACGTAAGTCAGAAATAAACAAAAATCCTTTCGATGTTAATCGTGAGGATGAGGATGATGATGGTGACCCCCAGTGTTTGTTCTGTTTCGCTTTCATTATCCTTTCCTTTTTTGTATACAGAGAAGATTAGCTGAAAGAGGGTGGTAGAGTTGCAGTGGTAATAGAGGAAGGAAACTGTCGAGGTTTGAAAGTGCCGACTGGGGGAAAAGGGTAAGCACGAATCGGGGAAATGGAGATTGGGTTCTTAGGTTTGGGGATAATGGGGAAGGCTATGTCGATGAACTTGATAAAGAAGGGATTCAAGGTCACTGTTTGGAACAGGACTCTTTCCAGGGTATAGGATTTGGGTCTTTTGTTTTGTGTGTTCCAATCTTCATTGCTTAGCTTTGGTGTTGATATGATGTTAATGATTCGATTGCATGGTTTGCTTGGCAGTGTGATGAATTGGTGGAAATGGGTGCTTCAGTTGGAGAGACACCAGCTGCTGTGGTCAAGAAGTGTAAGATCACCATAGCCATGGTGTCTGATCCAGCAGCAGCGCTCTCGGTCAGTTCTCTCGTCCTTTCTCTGTGTTCCTTATAGTAATGGAAGTTTTGATCGTTTCTAGTTTTATTCAGCTCAAATTGGACTCGGGAATAAACCAAGGGCTTAGCTAGCGTCTCTTGTTGAATGATGACTATTCTTAGGGGTCGTTTCATGACCAATTAGGGTTTGTATTCTGGAAATTCTAGAGTATGTAAACAAGGGGAACTATGTATTGCCAGAAACCATGATCTCGATATCATAGGGGTTATACACAATTTCTGCTTACCGAATGAGGCTTTACTGAATTTTCTGATTGGTGTTGTGTAGGTGGTGTTTGATAAAGATGGTGTGCTAGAGGAGATAAGCAGTGGGAAAGGTTATATGGAGATGTCAACTATTGATCCTGAGACTTCTTGCAAGATCAGTGAGGTTTTGTATTGAATGGAATAATGATTTTCTGTTGCTTGCTTGTTCAGTGATTTGGAAACCATTCAAATTCTGAATGTGTTGGTCTAATGATTCCAGGCAATTACATCTAAAGGCGGCTCTTTCGTGGAGGCTCCTGTGTCAGGAGGCTACAAACATGCAGAAACTGGACAGCTTGTAATAATTGCTGCTGGGGACAAGGTGAATTCATATTTCATCTTCGTTTTGTTGATTTAGAATGAGAAATTCTTGCATTCTGTGGGTTTTTGTTTGAAATTGGCTGCATATTGGTGGTAATCTAGGCACTGTTTGATGAAGCAATTCTAGCACTCAATGTCATGGGGAAGAAGTCTTTCTACTTGGGGCAAGTTGGGAATGCAGCAAGGATGAAACTTGTTGTGAACTTGATCATGGGAACGTATGCACTTTTTTCCTTTTCCCACATTTCTGAATCGTAGAACATACATCGATTTAGGGATGTCTGGTATGAGACTGTTCTGCACAATAGAATTGGATATCACGAGCTCTGTTACTCTCTATCGTCTAGGTGTTTTGCTTCGAGGACTTCGAAACTCTATAGTACATACACATTTCTCTTAACACTATACTCGAATATCCTGCTTGCACTGTCAAATATGCCCATACGGCACATATGTAGGGAAAGATTCATTTCCTAAGTACGTGATGGTGATATGACGATTTTCGTGAATGATCATTTGCAGCATGATGACCACATTTTCGGAAGGAATTGGCTTGGCAGAAAGGAGCGGTCTGAACCCTAGCGATCTTCTTGATATACTGGTAAGAGAAACCATCCATTTGTCGGGAGTTGTAATACTTCCCCCCCCCCCCCCTCAGCTTAGGACTTCTTAATGAATGAGACTTAATCTGACATCTTTGTCCTAACAACAATGCTGTTTTTCTTCAGGATGTTGGTGCTATGGCCACCCCATTGTTGAAAGCCAAAGGACCAAACATGATCAAGAGCAACTTCCCCACTGCATTCCCACTGAAACATCAGCAGAAGGACATGAGGTTGGCTCTTGCACTTGGAGATGAAAATGCAGTTTCGACGCCTGTAGCTGCTGCAGCAAATGAGGTGAAAAACTGAAACCCCTTTCTCTCTTCCTCCGCAATCTCTCTCATCTCTCTGTTCCTTAATCACTGATCTAACCCAGCTCGAGATGAGTAGCAAGATAAAATCACGAACTTAGTAGAACTCTCCACGTCAAGTATAATTCTGCTCCCGAAATCTTGATCAATCTGAATAAAGTTGCTCGGCAATGCATTCACATGCTTATGTAGTTTTGTTGACGACTTGGTTTCTTTGCGATGCAGGCTTACAAGAAGGCTAGAAGCATGGGATTAGGTAATCTTGATTTTTCAGCTGTTCTTGAGGTGGTGAAGCCGTATAAAGATTAAGCTTCTTTAGTATGACTTGGAGCCATATCGCAAACCAATGGATCCACAGAGTACTTCATCTTCGTGCCAATATATTCCGAAACCTGCTTGTGGTTCAGGTGCATCTCAGAAAGCAGGATTCTTTGTACCAACGTTTAATTCAGAGCTTAAAAACGGCACTTGTAAAATGTTTACACTTATTAAGTAATTTGCTCATCCATGAAACTAGAGGTGTCAATATTGTATTTCTATGGAACTTACAAGCACTTTTCATGCCTAAAAAAGGCAATAACTAACACAAAGATGAACTACAAGTCCTGAACCGAGTAACAGATTACTGAACTTCACCAGCAAATATCCTGAGGCAGAGTTCTTCTTCCCTAAGAACTCCCCGGAGGTGGGCATCGGCGGGAACCCATCTTCCTGACTCGGAGCAGCAGCAGGACCGTCCGGCCATTCCCCAGTTGGTGAAGGGAAGAATGAAGAAGGGTTGTTGGATGGATCTTCATATGGCAGCACTGCAGGGGAAGCTGAGATTGTAGGCTCAGTGTTAGTAAAACCAAAAGCTGGCAGAAATTTGGCGGAGAACAAGTTGAGCAGCAGCATAGCTGCAACTGAATGAACAAGGAAACTTGAAGCTGTGGCCATAGATGGATCTTGGGAGATATTGGAAATGGTGATGAGGAGATTGGATATATAGATAGATAGAGGATAACAAGGACAGGAAATGTGTGAATATATTAAAGGATTTTACTGTGAAGGTAGTCACGAGAGTGATAGTGGAAGAGATAAATTTCCAAAATGCCTGCCTGGATATAGTCGTTACTTTGCCTTTTTCTCGTTTGTCTCTTGGGAACAAGGACAAGAGCATTGTCTATATTCTTTCCCTGGATGTTCAAATATAAAAGATGGTTTTTACAGTTTTCACATGACTGGGCAGGGCTTTGGATCCTTCTCAACTCATTCTGTATAAAATTGCTCTTAGCTGGCCCAAAATATCTAGGCTAATAAGCTCTGCAAATACAAGGGGAAATGTCACCTTTGTTTTACATTTGAGGTCAAACTGTGAACTGCTGTGCATCAAAAAGAAAGAATCAATCTCTCAGTACAAGTATCTAGCTCTCCAAATTGGCTATCGGGAGTTGAATCAAAGAACATATAATATTTTGTGAGAGATAAAAGAGATAGAACTTAAGGTACAACAGCGGGTGAAAAAATCCCCAATGCGATCTCATCATCAAATGCCTTGTTGATCAGAGCAGCCGGAGATGTGCAGTATCGTTAAGCCGCTTGATCTGCCACCCTGTTCTGAGTGAATGCTGCAACACCGTGACAGAAGAGTCTTCAATACAGATCTTATGCGACATCACTGGGCTGCAGCCCAGGAGGCCTGTGAGGAGGCACCTGATGGGGACCGCATGAGTGAAAACCCCAATGCATGAAGAGACTGATGGCGATGCTGAGTTCGGAAGGCTAGGAGATCCCTCGTCCTGATGTTGATCTCCCTCTTGGTGTGTCCCAGTCGAAGTGACGAATTGCAGCCTGCTCTTTCCCGACTTTTTTCTCGAGAAAACCTGTCGGTGCTGAGTAAAGCCCCCGCCTTGGTTCTCGTTTTGATGTTGGATCAAGATATCGGACCTGAGCCTTTCAGGTAGCCCAATGATGGTACCGTTCATGAACTGAATTATTCTGAATTCAACTTGACGAAGGGATTCGCCAGATGGTGCGCAGAAATCAGGCTGAGAAGTTTCAGCCAAGGAGACAACTTCAGTTGTGTAGATTTCTGAGTTGGAACAACCCTCCCAATGGCCCATGCTCATCTCGGCAAGTGCATCTGATGTTTGTATTTGTTCATGACCAAAGCTCATTTCCTGAACGTTTATAATAGAAGATCAGCTAAGCTGCAGCAAAAACATGGAAACAAACGGGGAAAGAGCTGCAAATGCAAGCTATGACACATAACCTAAGATTGATATCCACCCATGATGAAATACCTATTTTTGTCACATCTTTATCTCACCAACGCCAAGTCAAATGACAAAATGCTATAACTCCATGTGTAGAGATATCATAATCATAACACAACAGGATTGCGAAAGTGTCAAAGTGAAGACAGAAGAGACCATAGTTCCGCTGCAGTCTTAAGAATGACATAAGTGATAACATCGTTACAACATAGACTCCTATGGAGAATTCATCACCTCATCTATCCATTACGACAAAGGAAACAATCTAATAGAAGCCCTTATCGTATCTCAACAGACCACAAGTTTCTTTACTATGTTTAGCGAAAGAATGTGAACAACATTATGATCCAACAAACTGCAATTAGCAGTAGCGCAGTCAAACCAAGGGAGGTTGAATCAATAAAACATCAGGCTTCAGATTATTGCACTAATGAACATCAGCAATGACTGATGCACAACAACCCACAAGTCAAAAACACACAAGTCCTCTAAGATTACTACTTCAGGATCCATAATCAGTTCAAGCTATCTGCTTTCAATCAAACATTTCAAAGTAGAACAAGGATTCCGTAGTTACCTGGCAAACCAGAGCAGCCATTGATCTGGCGCGTTCAAGAGGCGAGGAGTAAACAGCATTGAACCTAACCCCTTGAGAATTAAGGAACACTGCTAAAGCCCTAGCTTGGCGCTTCCCATTGGGGGTCAAACCAGCCATATGACACCTCCCACCGACCAAATCCGGCCTCAAAGTCAGCTCACACTCACCATGACTAATCAAGAACACCTCCATCACCTCGTCGACGCTCCCGCCGCCGGCGCTCGCCATTGAGAAGCTCCTCGAGAAAACCGGGATCGGAGGGGGTGGCGGCGGAGGGCCGAGGACGTTGTACGGGTCCCAGACCTTGATCGACGGCCCCAGGCGAGGGGTGCCGAGGGTCGAGAGCTGCGGAGAGAGCGGAGAAGCTGATGCGTAACAAGGGAGCATCTCTGGTTCTTGCTCCAGAACTTTCTTCACCAACGAGTTGTCGATTCCCGCCGCATTGACGCCGGTTCCGCCGTGGCCGTCTTCTTCTCCTTCCTCCCCCTCCGCTTCTTCGTCTTCGCTCGCTAGCTCTTCTTCGTCTTCGCTCCCTAGCTGTTCAGCTGAGTGCGAAGCGCCCATTGATTCAAGAAAGGGTCAACGACCCAGATGGCGGAGAGATCCGATTGGTTCGCCGGAATCACAATTTTGCGAGTGGACTTGGGGAATTTGATTGGGAGTGGAAATTGGGGAGTGGGGTGGGGACTTGGGATCTTGTATAAAATTCCCAATTCGTAAGGCAAAGAATCAAAGTGACGCGGGGATCGTTGTAATTTGACTATCTAAGATCGAAGAAAAAGAAGAAAGATCTCGGCTTCAGTAGATCTCGTAAGTCCATAATAGGGAGAAAGACAAAAATAGAGAGAGTGATTGAGTTGCCGTGGTAATAGAGCCTTGAGGAAGGAAACTGTCCGAGGTCTGAAAGTGAACGTGACTGCGGAAAAAGGAAAGAGAGGAAAAGGGTAAGCACGAATCGGGGAAATGGAGATTGGGTTCTTGGGGTTGGGGAGAATTGGGAAGGCTATGTCGATGAGCTTGATAAAGAAGGGATTCAAGTACAGTGTTTGGAACAGGACTCTTTCCGTGGTATAGGAATCGGAGAAAATAGCAATTCGTTGGATTTGGAAATAAAGGTTTTTAGTTTAGAAAATCTTTGAATTTATAATAAATTTGTTTCATTTTGTATTTGAAAGATAACATTATTTGTTTTGTTGATTTTGATCATGAATTTAAGATTTTTGTATCATGGATCTCAAATCCTTACCTTCAATTATCAAATACCAAATGACATGTGATATTTGCAAATAAGTGGAGTTCATGAATTTGGGACTAAAAAGAATATCCAAATTCGTCACGGATTTGTCTACCTCAACAAACAATATTTTTTTGTCAAATACATAATGCTTTGTATTTGAGTGTCAAATACATCACTCAAATCCTACAAGCAAACGAGCCCTTAATCTGCTTGCAATCTTTTACAACCTCTTGTGACTATATACTCATAGGGTGGGATGGAGTGTCATGTAGAGATGGCAATTTCAACCCGACCCGTTTTACCCGACCTGTTTGACCTGTTTTGGGGCGGGTAGGCGGGGCGGGGCGGGCATGGGTAGTATCATCGACCCGACCTGTACTGACTCGCCCCATTCTCGACCCTTTCTTGTCTAAATTACATGTAATCTTAGTCATATTACTTAGAATTTTCCTTTTATTGCATCATATTTTAGCTATAATAAATTTGTAAATGAGTAAAAACCTCAATTTCTCCAATAATTTAACTACAAGTGTCGTAATATTGTTTGTTTTATTAGTCTTATAATAAAAATAACGAATATTTCTAATATTTTAAATATAAATTGCATACCCATTGGGTCGACCTGCCCCGACTCGCGACCCGTGATCAATTACCCGACCTGGACCCGACATGCAACGGGGCGGGTCTGGGTACCAAGAAACCCGCCTCGGACCTGCCCCATTGCCATTCCTAGTGTCATGTTTTTTCAAGTGGAGATTCAAGGGTCAGGATTCAATGGCTCAAGAAAAGACTTATTTAAGTGAATTTTTATGGCTTCTCGACGGCATTGTTGAAAGCCAAAGGACCAAACATAGCTTGTGGTTCAGGTGCATCTCAGAAAGCAGGATTCTTTGTACTAATGTTTAATTCAGAGCTTAAAAACGACACTTACAAAATGTTTACAAAAACATTACATTTCACCTAAACACATATCAAATTGACAACAGTTATGACATTGTATATACACCTGCAATTCGGAACGTATTATAGCAGGTAACGAAGATTTTTATTCTGCTCACAAACCTACAGCGGCAAAATTTCGATTGCTTCCTCAGATTAGCTGCAATAATCTCTCAAAGAGTAGCGAACTTTACCCTCCCATTTTATACAAAAAATCACCCTAAACATGTATACATCTAACTCAGCTAGTAGCGTCTGGTTCTGGTATAACATCTTCCTAAGCACTAGTAGTAAATCAAACTTTCCTAAGTACAGCAAATAAGAAGTTTCAAATAGAGTGGCAGTTCTTCCCAAAGGAATCATGCCACTGCTCTGTACAAAGTTGAGGTGAGTTTGCCGCCTTTCTTGGAGGCGGGGAAGCTTCCGATATGGCCAGGAAAAAAGAACACGTATGAGGGAAGCTGAGATGAACGAAACACTGTGAGATCCCAAAATCAGAGGGTTCCTGACACTAGTATGATATTTTTCAGCCGCGAAATTCGACCCTGTAACTTGGGAGTGGTTTGCTACCTGAAAAACCCAATCGAGAGGAAGCATATTCGTTAGATCGGAGGGCAATGCTGATCGTATAGTTGTTACTTCAAAGGACAACTGACTACGAAGGGAAATATGCATTATCAATACCTGATCACTATAGCTGTTGCGTCCTTCTCTTGACATTGAGCATTTTCTGAATGCTGCCAGATCAAGTCATCCAATTTCACCAACCATAAGGCAAGTGCAGATGAAGTCTGAGGCAACCTTGAGAAACACGCCACGATTTCTTCCGTGAAAGGGTTGAAACCGGGAGCATCGCTGGTTTGGCACAGCCAATCCTCATTGATTGCAGCGACGAAATCAGTTACGACCTGGAAAAGATCTCAGCAGATCAGAAGAGTGCACTTGTGGGCCTTGAAACACTGCCGAAGCAAATTAAACAAACGCGAAGTGTGGAGAACAAGGGGGAGAACCTGCAGAAGCTCGGTCAATGAAGCGGTACGTCTAAGCCGTTTAACCCACAGCCTATGAGCAGACTTCGTCCAAGCACCCACCAAAGCCCCTTCAGGCATCACTGACTGCATTGAGTCCATTGAAGGAAAACGAAATGATTAAAAAGGGAACAGAAGCTCAATCAAAATCCTTCAAATAACTTGAGAAGTGCATACGTATGTGCAACAGCACACAATTGAACAAATAAACTGTTTCTCGTTGGCACTTTTGATGTATTTCAAATCGTAATCCCAATAACATGTGGCCATGAAGTGAAAATGTCCCACATGGATTTTTTTTTTTACTTCTCTTGCCCAATTTTTCCATACAAATAAACAATTTTCCAAATGTGCTTCACATTATTCATCCAATTCGAACAAATAACATTCAATAAAAAAATACGGAACCAAATATGACATGATGCAAAAAATCCAAAAATGTTGCTGATCAAGCAACTAACAACATACCTCAATCGCATGTACAGCAGCTTTCAACGTCTGAAGCACTGACGGCAAGACTTTGTATCTAGAGACATTTTCATTCTCTGTTTTCAGTTTACATGTGGCTGTATGGACCGCGTACTTCTCTTCAAGATCGAAATCAACCTCAAACGTCATGTGGCAAATCCTACAATGCTTTTCATCCCTCCAGTACAAATCATGACACGTCTGGCATCTCGTCAGATGTTCATAAAATGACCTTTTGCTATGCTTCACTGCATTGAGACCACTATAAAAATGATCCCATATCCATGAATCAAATAACTGTAGACAATTTCGTCTAGGGTTTTCTTCTTCCAGATTTTTCTCTGCGGCAAGCACTATTGCGCTGCATGGAGGCAATGAGTCGTTGGTTGTCTCCTCTAGACCAGAAATTGGTGAAGAACTGTCTTCCCTGACAGTTGACTCGAACTCCTTTGATTGTGATGAGTGACAGCTAGCAGCAAGGTTTCTCACATTCGACATTTCGTTGCATAGAAATGTTTCCCGTTTCTCCAATGACTCAATAAGTTGAGCTTCCCTCCTCCCCCTATCGTCTAAGACGGCTAATAAGGAACGTAAACCCTGCATTTGAACCATGCCACAATAAAAAACAGTTAGAGGTAGATATTTGATATTGTTCTCATGATCTCATCAATTCACAAGCACCAAGAACAAAGAAAGCAACTACCTCTGCAGTATCAATCACTTTCCAGTGGCCATCTTCAGAAGACTCGAAATAGACCCTCTTATGACCAGGATCAAGAAAATCACAAGGGCCCAAGAAAAGCCAATATTGATTATACCGACGATCGGCACCCAAGAATACAGACTGCATAGGATGCAGATCAGCTACAGATTCAGTCTCCTTTCCATCTTTCCCCACGCAAGACGATATATCCTCTATGCTAAAATTAAAGATTGAGACAGATGAATCAACAGGTTGAGACTTGGACGATGAACATGGGCCAAAAATCTGTTTCCCATGAACCCAGGAAGGCCTGTGTAATGACGATCTCTTTATTTTTGCTCCAGAACCATAATGTTGCAAGTTAGGAGCAGGTCTCACGGGATCCTAGAAGAGGAAAGAGGGACGCAAATGATAAGTGATGGATGAAAATGAAGTAATACTTGGTTTTCAAAATCATGATATTTCACTAGATTGAAAAGTATTTTAAAATCATAATTGTAAATCGAATCATGACATCGTAAGATTTTGATGTCCTATAATGAGTAGTGATTATAGGACGCAAATGATTAGTGATGGATGAAAATGAAGTAATACTTGCTTTTCAAAATCATGATATTTCACTAGATTGAAAAGTACTGCAAGATCACAACTGTAAATCTAATCACGACATAGTAAGATTTTGATGTCCTATAATGAGTAGAGATTAATCACACCCACAAATACATCATGAATTATTTTAAGAACAATCACGAGTTACTAGAACATAAGAATTAAGGTATGAAGTGTCACCTAGACTCATAAGATCCTATAAAATACTAATATTGTAAAAGTAAAATCGTTCTCTGGTGAAAAATGGAAAAATTGTAAGCCTTTTATGAACCACCGATTTTATGGATCAGAATGTTACTCCCTTCTAGAGTCTAGAATTATAAAGACACAAGTTTTTAATGTCGGAGGATTTTAACAACACTGAAGGAACAGAGGCAAGAGGGTTAATAAAATGATCCCAAGGGTGATGAGCATTACCTCCATTCTAATGCTGGATCCTGCACTGACTAGATCAATTAAAGCTACCAAGACATCCAGCTTTTCGTCAATGCTCAAATCAGAATACTCGCCATCCATTAGTCCTTGAAGCCACGCCTCCCCAGGATGGCTCTCGTCAATTTCATTATGTACTGTCAGCTTGTTACTTTTACTTTTACAACACTTAAGGTGCCGAAGCTTTGCCTGAGTCAAACTTTCTGAGTCACACTCAGAGTCACTGCTGCTACACGTGCCAGCAGCAACATCAAAGTCATCATGAATGCTTCCCGAGTCTTCTCTGTCAGAATCGCAGCTCTCTTCTTCCTTTAAGAGGGTACTTACACGTAAACGGTAAGCAGCAAGTGATACCTTTTCAAATAAAGTAATGTCGCTTGAAAGAGTTGAGCTTATCAATAGCTCCAGTGCTTCATTTGTGCTGGCAGGATTTAGTTCGACAACCTTCATAATCAAGAGGCAAGAAGTTAATGAGTTCCTTGGTTAATGCATAAAGAACAGTTAAAACTTTTGAAAATAGTCAAATACTGAATAATTTAAATATTCTTCCACTTGAATTTCTGGATGCCTAGTTTAAGGACACACCTGTGCAGACTTAGCCAGCTCGGAAACTTTTAGTCCGTTTTTCCCTTTCTCAAATAGGATTCTGAACAGTTCACCCTTCAAAGTTCCAGGAGTAAGGCCATACTTCAACATAAGTCTCATTTCCTATGAAGAAAAGTACATTGGCATATTAGACAATAAATACTTACCAAATTCACATATCCAACAATTTTACATGCAAAAGAAGACGAAAGACAAAAAAAGTATAGGGGAAAACAAGAATTACCCAAACAATGCCATATGGTGATTGAAACTTTTACCTTGCTAAGGGTTTGTCTCCGGAATGCACCTTGCTTTGAGCCAAATCCAGCTGATACAAGAACTTGCCTCAGTATTTCGGTCCAAGTTAGAGGATTTAATGATCTTTTCCAGAAATCTAAAACAAACTCCTGATCTTCAACCTGTCAAAGCAAAGAATAAATATTTTGGAGTGAATAATCGGTCCCAGCATAGGGTAGTGTGTTGTATGATACAAGAAAAGACAGAAATTTCCTGCACTCAAGTAGCTTCTCTAAGTGGTTCACTGACACACTACTGACTACGCTCTGTACTCAAATTAAGTTAGAGCTTCAGCAGAGAGTCATATGTACTCACCGAATTAAGTAATGCCAGAAACTTGCAAGATATGCTTAAATGAGGCAGAAAACAATTGCTGATCTCTCGTTCAACATCCGACAAAAGAAGCTTCAGAAGAGCTACATGAATCTTGCCAAGCAACAAGGAATCCTGAAAGGAAAGTCACGGGAAATTCAATAAATTACATCAAATAGTAACAAAATCGTGTCATATAAAAGCCACCATAAATCATCTCAGAAATCACCTTGTCATGAAATGCTTGAGCAAAAGCATCCAACGTGAAGGAGCATATGTCAATTGTAACAGAATATGTATAAAGGAAATGCAAAACCTGCAGAGAAGAAAGAATCAGCAAAGCCACGTTTAGGAACATTGGGTAAAGATCATAAAGGGCAATAATATGTTTCTTTAAATAAGTGAATGATTTGCATAAAAAAAGGGGATATACAAGATGTAAATGCCTCCAAACGGAATAAGAAGAATGAGACTGAAAAAGAGCAGCAACAATGCTCTATACACCCTCATATAGAGGAACAATGTTAAACCCAGTACTTTTAGAAGTTCGATGACGGATTCAAGAACAAAGAAAAATGGTGGTGGATAAGGTCATAAAGAACAAGACTACCTTCAAAATTCATCGCTTATAATCCAAATTTTCTTTGCCATGTAGGAAGATAGGAATGAAGGCTTAACAAAGAAGAGCACCAATACACAAAACTGAAACAGGCACAGCTAGTACCCCAAAATCCTAAGTACCAATGGATATCCAAAAAAGTGTATAGTTCAGAGGATACTGGAGATCCGAAAAAGGAAAGAACCCCATGGACATGACTTGAATACTTAAAACGGCGAGGGGGCACTAACCACTGTCATTTTTGCTTCACTCACCTTGAAAAGTTTCTTGACAGTCTCTGAAGAACGCTCCCAAGGCTGCACAGCAAATGGCTGCTTCATATGTACAGAAACCGGAGGAAACTTAGGCAGCAAATCTGTTATAAAAGAAAATAGAAAGATTGTAGGTGGAAGTATTCATATATAAATATATATTAACAAACATGGAAGCAAATTAAGGAATCAAAGGTATCCCAAAGTATGGCAATTCATACACACCTTTGCACAGAGAACAACTATGCAATCCATTGGCAGCACAATGTTCAGAACATGTCAGTGGATTTGGTCCTGCTTGTAACTCTCGTATCTCCACCTCTTCGTCATCCATCAAAAGTGCAAATTGATTAAGAAGTTCTTGTGATGTCCTTCCATCCAGTGCAAGTTCACATGTCTCCCTGAAGAGTTGCTTCTCATTCTCTTCTCCTTTAGAACCCACCTCTTTTCTCCCGAAAGAAGCCTTCCGCTTCTCCTTCGACGTTTCTCCAACCTTTACCTGCTTTGGAGGTACATCGAAAGCAAATTTAAAACTTCGGACTTAACAATCCATCAAACCCATAGATGTACCATGAGATCCCAAGACATGAGGAACAATAGGAATGTTCCATCAAATGATAATAAACACTTAGAAGGTGAAGGCATCTAACCATTACAGTTGTGGGTTTCCGTTTCCTCTTCTTTCGTCGAAGTTTGCATGATTCAATAATTGTTAGTTCAGGTGTATTAGATATCCGTCTATCAGTTGGAACGTCTATGCCATCTCGATTTATGGGCTGCAATGCTGTCATTAAGCCTTTGCCCATACCATATTTCTTCATCGGTGAACTCGCAGTACATTCCTGAGATTGGAAGATCAGGAGAGGAACAGAAAAGAAAGTACAATCTTTAATTGGGGTAAAAGATAGTACAATAAGCATCATGCCTACATGTTTATTTCCAGTACCTTTCTCATCAAGCCTTTGCCCATTCCATGTTTCATAGTGGGCACTCCTACTTTATAATCCTTGGCATTCTGAGAAACCACAAATAGGAGAAATTTTGAAACAGTATGAAAAGGCAAGGAGAATAATACAAATTATGCATGAACAGTATGGCACAAAAGTATCCTGCCAACAAGAAGTTATCCTTACCTTTCTCATTAAGCCTTTGCCCACACCACGTTTCTTCACAAGTTCACTCAATGTACAATCATCAACATGCTGGGAAACCACAAAAGAGAAGTGAGAATTGAAGGTAATTGCCAAAGAAATGTTGAATAGTGACACTTTTGTGGAAACACCCCTCGGTTTACTTGCAGTACCTTTCTCTTCTTGACTGTTGCTTCATTGTCTTCGGAAGCAGAAAGATAGTTTATGGATTCTGAATAGGAAAGAAAATGCCAATATTGTTTTAAAACGATAAGGAAGCATTATAACAAACAATAGATCTGCCGGTGGCTACATATCCTCGAATCTAACAGAAAATAAAACAGCAAGAGTTCAAAAAAGTTCAGTTACTATATTCCACAATTCAATATCATATAAATGCAAAGGGGCAGACACGAAAGATCACAAGCATGCTTTCACGATCCTCTCCGCTTTGTTCAACAAAGAATGTAACATGTTATATGGGATGTTTACCTTTAATAGTATGGAATCCCCTGGAAGGAACAGAGTCGAATTCCACACCTAAGGCAGGCCCATCTTTACGGAAAACCTTGCTGATAATATATTCCGAAGAGTGCAACTGCTGTACACGAGTCAGTTTCGATGACCTCTCAATAATCCCGTCCTCCACTTCCGAAGACAAACTACTGCTGGATTTAGTCCTGTCATGACTCAACGATCCCTCCTCTCTGAATACCTTTCTTCCTTTGCCGGTAGGGAGCTTCTTGCTCTGAATAGGAGTTACAGCTAGTGGTTTCTTACTTTTCTCCCTCCTTCTTTTCTCAACAAACCATCCCCGGACCTGGGCAACTGTAAGGTCAAGGGATTCGGCAAGCTCTTCAATAGCATCATTGGTAGGATACTTCTCCTCTGTTTATGGGAAACAAGCAATCAAAAGTTAATCTAGGCAGCAGCCATAATCAAACAGCCGAACCCTACTGACGCCATGTAAGGTTCCTAACTGAGGTTGAATGATGAATTTGAGTCCCAATTGCAGTAATAAGGCAACAGAAGCACTTCCATAACATCTGGGGACTAAAGGATCAACAAAACTCAAGCCGTACTAGAATTCGTTCTCAAATTAAGCAGAGAATGGAGATAGAGAAGTATGAAAACATGGTACCGGCAAATAACTTCCGGAGAGCTTCAAGCTGCTCTGGCGATTTCCTCTTCAATTCCATTTCTCCAACTCCTGTCTTCTATGAACCGCACTTCCCAATTAAACCGACCTCGAGTTCCACATGCCCTGAGCAAAACAGAAACGCCGATTCCTTCATTAGAAGAATTCATAAACAAAACAAACGAAACCAAAGCAGAGAGCAATGCAGCGAAGCAAGTGAGAAACCGAATTCGCCAATTCAAGCAAAAAAACACAGCACTGAGCTTCCCCCACACACAGCGAAGTGTTGTTCCGAAGCTCCAGGAGAAAGAAGAAATGAAATGGCGACACGGCCGCATATGCGGCCATTAATACGGTATCCGTATTCATCAATTCAAGTTAGAGGCTAAGGAAATCAAACAAACAGGAGCAATGAAATGCTGAACGAGCCGCAAGCTCAGTTCATGCGGGGAAACTGGAGGGGGAGGGGGGGAATTGCCCGCTGGGGAACTTACTGGCGAATTCTTTCCGATTGCCGGAAGCTGAGAGTGATGACGACTGAGGAAGCAGAAGAAGGTGAAGAAGATGTGACTTAGTCGAAAGGGTTTATGGTGAAGAAGGAGGAGGAGGGTGTGAGATTTTACAGAGCTGTAGGGTTTTGGGTTTTATCATCTTTTCTTTATTGTGTTCATTACTTCATTTATTAATTTTTCGCTTATTTGTTTGTTTTAATTTATCGTAGGAAAAATGCAAGGGGAAACCAAATGGAAAAGATCAGTTAACTCCTTCAACAATCAAATATCTGATGTTGGTATGGGCTTGGGCCTTGCTTTACGATTTCTGAAGAAAGTGGCCCGCATCTAATAACTAAGCCCAAAACCAAAGCATTTCCCGCCAAGCTAAAGCCCGCGAAACGACAAGTCAGCGAGTCGCTGTTCTTCGTGTTTCAGGACAACAGCTTTTTGCGGATGCGGTGGAAAGTTAAGATGGAGGAGGAGAAGAACCCTAAATCGACGCCTGAGGCGATCTCCGTCAGGAAATCGATAAAGAAGCAGTCCGATTTCAACACTTATCCGATATGGAAAGAAAAGGTTAGCTTCCGTTTTTGTAATTGTTCGCTCGTTATCAAGATTTGGTTTCCCGAATCGACGGTGATACGGGTTTCCCGAAATCGTAGCTTCAATTTTCCGATAATCTGATTTCAGTGGAGGGAGAGCTGCTTCAAGCGAGTCCGCGAAGATAGAACGCGGTTGCTATGGAAGAGTAGGGGGAAATCACTGGACAAACAGGTTAAGCCGTCTGTAAATTCTTCCATTTTTTTGCTCAAGAAATGAAGGTATCGCATTTGTGATCTTGAATTTACTCTTGGCTTATTTATTTTTGTATGTGTTGTGGTTGGCTTTCAGGACCAGGAGTTGATCAAATCGGCATTCCAGGGAATAGTTTCTGATGAGCTGAACAGACTCAGGAAACCGTCGTTAGTGGTTGATGATGATGAGAAGACGCTAACGAGTGCTGAACTGGATCTCGATGGTGATGGCGAGGGCGATATGCTGTGGGAGTACGAAGGTCTTCACGACGCATACCAAGGGGATCGGGAAGAGATATTGCTTGAAATACAAAGGATCTTTTATGAAGATATCAGGGCAGAATCGAACCCGAAAGGTTAGAAACTTATCTGTATCTTGCTAGCATATGACTCAATGGTGAATGATATCTGTGTAATGAAGGCATAGGAACATTGAACACGAAACATATAAGTATAATGGATTAGGCTTAAAGAGTAATTTTGTATACACCGTGGATGTCTGGTTGCTTATTAACCTGTCTACTTCTAGAATACTCGTTTAAGCTCCCTAAAGATATACAATTTTTGGATCGAATAATGGAGACTTTCATTTGGTTTTACTGCTTGTAATGGTGTCTATCAGAAGGCAGCTCACTGATATGAAATCTTATTTTTCTGTCCGGGAGCTTAAATGGGTAGTCTGGCGTCCTTGCAGAATTAAAATCCTGCATCGAAGCATGGGAAGAGGAAGAAGATGAGTACTTGGCTCGTGCTGTTTATGAGCACATGCAATTGAGTGACGAAGTGGTAGGTAAATGCTTGCTCGGTATCGTAGCTTCTGAAGTTTTCTGTTATGCCGTATTTCTTATCACCTCCCGTACAGCCAGACTGAGGAGTTAATTCTTTCAGTTTTCTGCGTGTTATCTAACACTTGATTGGATATTCAGAGGAAGAAGATCTGGTGCCCTGTATGCAAACAAGGAGAGTTACTGGAGAAGCCAAAAGCCATACACTGCACTCTCTGTGAACTTCAACTCAATAAATGTGACGAGGTCTCTTTTCCTGCTGAAATATGTTCAGTTTGGTACTTCCATGTTCATATCTAAACCAAAAATTAACACGAAATCTCTCTGATTGGACAAAAACCATGGCCAGTATGTCTGGTATTTATTTTATATATGGGTTCCTTTCCTTACTGAATGCTGATTAGCTTTTGGGTCTTCAAATTTACAGGTTAATCTGGACATATTGGAGTCTCGACTAGCTGATGCCCACACAGAACATTTTGATCGAGGGTGTAGACAGAAACCTAAGTTCCAAATCCAAACAAGATTCGGATTAACTGCATTGTACCTAACTTGTCAGGACTGCAATGTATTCGACATTGTAATATAGAAGTTTTTTTTGTTGCTGAAGACTAATTGCTTGCTTGGCTGAGATATTTTCAGCTGCATTGAGTTTTGCCTGTATAGTGTTGGATCGTTAAAGAAAAATCTGCAGATAACTTGCTATCCATCTAGTAGTCGATAAACTCACAAGGAGAATGTTGCAGAAAACTCGTATCAGGACTCAGGAGACACTAATGCAATGTTCAACGATCAAATTGAGGTAAGAGCTCGGATTGAGAGAACTAAGATATGACAGAGCTGAGACAGTAGACATGAAGAAACCGAAGTAACACTTCGTATTAATGAGAAACTGTTGCAAGATTCGAATAAGAGCAACCAAGATATGAAAAAATGAGTTACAAATAAAAACAGCTCCAGTGTTATCAGCTCAACATATCAAATCAATAAAAACAGCTCGTGTTATCAGCTCGACATATCAAATCAATTAATCAAACATAGCCATCAAGATCGTCGACGTATACGAATACAATAAGATCCCCCTGTCGACTCAACATAATCAACCCACCAAAATATAAGTAAATTAGAAAACAGCACCCCCCTCAAAAAATAATATTGACTATGAAGAGAAAGAATAAACACAAAATCTGCCTTTCATATAGTGCACATTGGCTTCGGGCGACCGCTGCCGCAGATTTGTCTCTAAATAGAGTACAGGGATTCCCAGCTTACATATCGATGAACCAAGCTTGCATGACAGGAGATTAGTATATAATCACGCCTCGAGAAAGGGGCAGTATCATTCATATTGCAAGTGAAACCTGTCCTTGACTTCCATGAGGCCCTTACTTGCGGTGGACGATACTCCACAGTAAACCGAGCTGGCCAGGGGCTTTGCAGCGTCACTCCACACACTAACTGACTGGTGGAATTCCCTGATATGAAGTTGTGTCGCTTTCGCGTAGCAATGAGGTTTTAAAATAGCTCCTCCGAATTGAACTTGTTCCATGCTTCCTTTTTTCACAATACGAATTATATAGAATAGATAAGTCGCTTGGTTAAGTGGAAAGGAACCAACACTATAACTATTCACATTCTGCCTAAAGTGTAGCCATATGTATACCTTTAGCAAGTCGAAGACCTTCTCAGCAATGTACTTTTGTTGAAGATTAGCACCTTTCTGTTGCACTTTATCAGGGTGAATGCATAAAGTTGCTTTCCTGTATACTTTTTTGACGGACGCAGCAGTAATCAGGTCGGTCAAGGAAACCGGCTGCCAACCACATTCAGGCCACAATACCTGGTAGTTACAAGAACAAGTTTCTTATTAGGCAGAAAATATTGAGTACAAAAGGAACATGAATTGGATGAGTTACTACGGATGAAGGACGAAGGCTTGGATTAAAAACTAGAAAACATACATATTGCATTGTTGATAGTAGAGCACGTAGATTCCCTTCTTTCCCAGCAGCCCATCGTTTGATCTCAAAGTCCAGAGTTTCACCAATTTTCTGGATAAGAAAGAAAGAAGAAAAAAGAGCAAACAGCATCAGACGACCGTAGTGCAAAACCAGTACCCTCACACATCATATTAATCAGTCTTGGACAACATAAAGTAACACAAACATGACACGAAGAATCTCAGTCATCATAGAGAGAACTAACACACGAATGGAACAATAAAGCTGTGAGATCAGCAACTTCTATCCGCACAACACAATGTATCACTTTTAGGTACCAGAGGATAGAGGACTAAAATATGAATACTAATCAAACCAATTAAATGCCAGGGCTTCAACAGGATCAGCTGTAATGTAGACTAACATTATAGATATCCTGACTAGTGTGACAAGCCGACAACCTTCACCTTTCATTGAATTCATTCTAATAACTTCCTATGATGACCCATAAAACGACCCCAGGTAAATTCAGCAATTCACTGCAGTGCTGTAAAACAGTCAAATATAAAAACTCGTGCTTTAAAGCTAACTCAAATAAGCTTCTACAAACAACCAGAAAATTATCCAAGGGGCCAAATAGATTAGTACAGCACATTTACAAGGAAATTAGCACAGCTTACATGTCTCTCTTCTTGTTCCCTCTGTGCTTGAAGGTCACGCTGATTCTTCTCAGCCAATGCTTGCTTCTGGAGAAATTGAAAGAATTGCCAATTACAGTTACAGAAGAAAAAAAAAACAACAAAACCACATATGCCTAGCAACAATGCAACTTACATTAGAAACCAAAATTAACCACTTAAATGAAAATAAATAAATTGAAAAAACATACTGCGCGCTCCTGAGTTCTTTGGTGGCGTTCCAGCCTGGCTCTTCGTCTTTCTTCTGTTTCCCCGTCAACCTCTTGGAAATCTCCAGATTGTCCACCTCCAGAAGCTTCTCGAAAGTAAAAGTTGGCCAAACGAGCTCAGCCAATTTAAGAAAGAAAGAAAAGAAGACAGATCATGGATGGACATTCAAAGTCTGTTACATAACTACCTCCAAAAATAGAAGACAGATCGTCAACGATGTTTGCAGTTGAAGATGCTTTTCTCATGTTAGATGAAGAACCAACAGAAGTCCTCTTAGGTGGTTCAGGAGGTCCCTTGCTAGCGGTATTAAAGAACGGATCCTGTGATTTAGGCGCAACACATTAACCAAAATATGTTAACAACAAAAAGCCAAAACATTCAATCTATCACTCGTCTATCAGAAAAATGAGTTAATTTTGCAAATATTCTTACACCCTCACTTAATGATTTCACAGAAGGTATATACGTCACCACGATTATGAACCGATCATATATGACATGTATCTCGTCCATAAGAACTCTTTTAAGACCTTTTTTAGCAAACAAATAAATTGAAAGGGGTTCCTTTGACTGCAACAAACAAAGTAAATAGTCCTAATACAAAAATCAGGAAGAACAGTCTTATCAAATTCCTAGGAGTTAAAGAAAGCCTTCCTGCTAAAATTATTAGCATAAAAGGTATCACTTACAGAAGTGGTTGCCTGAGGTCGTGGAGCGCTGCTCGGTCGAGAACTGAAGAATGATTCAAGATCATTTTCATTTTTGGGTTGGGCATCATATTTTTGTTGGTTTGCCCTTGCTGCAGCAGCAGCTGCTCTTTCTCGAGCTTCTTGAGCTGCTCTTTCTACTGCAGCACGTTCGGATCTAGCTCGGGCCTCCCTTTCCTTTTCAGCTTGTGCCCTCTCTCGTGCTTCTGCTGCTGCTCTTTCTGCTCTTTCCTTAGCATCTGCTGCTGCCCTTCCGCGAGCTTCGGATTGTGCCCTCTGAACAGCAGCTCTTTCTGCTCTTTCTCGAGCTTCGGAAGAGGCTTTGTCTACAGCAGCCCTTTCAGCTCTAACCCGAGCATCAATGGCTGCTCTTTCGCGTGCCTCTCTAGTGGCCCTTTCTACTGCTTGTCTGGCTCTTTCCCTTTCGAGTCGTTCCCTTTCTCTTTCTTGCCTCTTCTGCTCTCTCTCCTTCTCTTCCCTCTCCATCTCACGAAGTCTCCTCTGTTCTCTATCCTCCTCGTCCTTCTCCCTCTGCTGCCTTTCACGGTCTAGTCTCTCTTGCCTTTCTCTGAGTTCTCTTTGCTGTGCTTCTAGCATATCTTTGTCCTGCTGACTGGAATCCTTACTTCTAGCAGCCTTCAGATACTCCCTCTCTCTCATTTGCCTGAATTTAGCTTCTGCTTTATCCATAGCATCCTTCATAGCAGCTGCAGATGCAGCAGCCGAAGAAGAATTTGTGTCCACATCATCACCAGCAAAAGTGTTTCCATGATCATTTACATTATTGTTTTGGGCCCTGCCAGTGGCAAAATCTTCAAGTTCGTCAATTGGAGTTGTGGAGCTTCTCGATCCTTGCTCTGTCTTAGGACTTTGTGATCTAGAGAAAGAGTATTCATTAAACTTCTTTCTCGCGTTCGACCTTGGTGGTCTTGGAGGTGGAGGCCTAGAAGGCGGAGGAGCACTAGTAGGATTAGTAAACAGAGGAATTTCTGAAACGGTTAGCCATATCTCATCAGTTGATTCTGTGACCTCGTCAGCTACTGGAGATGGAAAGGTATCATTAGCTGAGAAGCTGGCATATGAAGGTGGAGGAGCACTGGCTGCTTTACTAGACTCTGTCGGACCAAAAGGATTTTCCTGAAAATTATCAATGGGAGCCTTGTTCTGTGAGTATCTCCCAGAATTCTCCACAGGATATTTGTCGACTGGATCCTGACTAACAGGAGAAAAACTACGACCCATGCTGGCTTCCGATCTTAACGGACTCCTGTTCTTCCGCCTCTCGTTAACCTCACTTGAAGCTGATGGAACAGATTTTCCAAGATTTTCAAGAGGATCTAAGTCATCAAATGATCCTTTATGTACGCGTGAGCTATTAACTCTTGTGTTTCCTGAGCTACTGAATCTACCGATTTCTTCCAATGGATCGACAAACCCTCCAGAGGATGCTGCTGCAGGAGTTGATGTTGACTCTAACACTACAAATGGATCGTCAATTGTAGCAGGAGCAGTCTTGGCTGAATTGGTAGATGGTCTGGCCTGACTGGACTCAGAAGTTGACCTGTGACACAAATTCTCCTTAAAGATCATCAAACGTCGAACAGAGGGTGATATGAAGATAATCACGATAGCTTATTATCCTAAGGTTCATCAGCCACATGTGATGTGCCTAGGATGCTCTAATTGAGAATAAAATAGCTAGGGTTGCTAGAAATTGAAAGGAATTGGAAAATTTAGGGGTTTTGGTAGGTTAATGGAGGAAGAACCGCCACACCAGCCGGTGATAAGGTTCGGGGCAAGGCGCCACAGCCAAGGGGTTGATAAGCCTAAGACATCACAAGGAAATATTTCTTGCAACTCTTGAAAAATCTTATTGAAATCTGAATACTGAATTCTTAATAAAACTGAGCTACAAGCCTTCTATTTATAGAGAGGAAACAAATAACACTCATACTGGAGATAATAAATAAAGAAAATATAATAAAAGACTCCTAAACCAACATGGACAGCAATTAAGCATCCCCGATTCTCAATTAACCCGTAAGCCTTGCTTGTAGAGCCATTGTCACCCATTTTAAATGCTCCCAAACTCTTTTTAAGCCTCCTAATTCGTCTCTTGGCCCATGGTCCATGTAGAGATATAATTAGGACTCGAATAAGGTCATGTGGGGTGGGCATGATACATCAACATGACCACACAATCTTCTGGAAGACCATGTTAAACTAAAAAAAAGCTACATAAAATTAAATGTTTACATCTTGAATCTTAAAAGAACAAGACGATGACAGAAATATACCCAAATACGTTCGGAGCCCAATGTAAAAGTGTCTAATAGTTGAGAAAAGTGAGTTCCCGAAACACAAACTAAGTAAAGAAAGCGAGTACCATCCAACATCCAGTCTCTAATGCTTTATTCTACAACCATGAAAACATGACAAAAGTCTGTTCTTTTTTATAATTGTCACTGCCTAAACCCAATTCTGCATCTAACAAATGGGCAATGGGCGCTGCTGAACATAAAACCCAAAGTGCCGTAGTGATAATGGCACTTTGCGATGGCATATTCAGAAATGACTCGAGGAATATAGCTAAGCAGCTAGAAAAGACGGTAGACAAAACTAAGACTATGCTAGCAGAAGTAGACCAAGACAAGTCGTTTCTACAGCATATGAATTCTTCTCATGGACACAATACATCCACAACAACTAATCAAGTGTATCAGGAAATCCGAACAAATACAATGAGCATACCAACTCAAATTTCACCATATCACTCCCAATCAATGTGCTAGCTTCAATATTCTATCAACTTAGCAAATGATGAAGGTACCTGCTTATGCTGGGAGAGCTACTGCGACCAAAGCCAGGAAGCAAATCATCAAATGCAGGAGAATCTTTCTCCACTTTGGAAGGAGCCTCTCTCTTGGTCTCCGCCCCTTTCTTACCCAGATTCCCCAACAGATCATCAAACGCGGAGCTGTTCATCGACTTGTGTTTGGGAGAAGAACCACCACCAACAGCAGCAAACACATCGTCGTGGAACTTAGCCGTGGAAGAAGTCACCGACGCACTCTTCAGCCCAGGCAACCCATCGAAAATGTCCTCGTCGTACACCGGCTTATCGAAAACCGGAAGCGACGACGACTTGGCATTCTGGTCCTTGAAGATTGCGTCGTAGTCGAAAGAAGTAGCGGCAGACGAAGATGACCCGGCATTCCCGCTCCTGCCGCCACGCGATTCCCCATACTTCGGCGGCCCGCCGAATACGTCGTTGAACATTAGACCGTCCGCTCCCCCGCCGACGCGATCGTGATCGTCGAAGATCGGAGCCGATTTACCAGATAGGGAGGAGGCGGACCGGGTCGGCTCCGATCCGAACGACGAAGCGAAGGCGTTGCTGTTGCTGGAATTGCGCGCGGGTGGCGCCATGGGAGCAGACTTCCCCTGCGGCTTGAATCCAAAGTCCCGCGCTAAGAGGCCGGGAAAATCGTCCATGGATCCCCGCGCCGGAACAGAATTCGAGCAAGTTGTTCGGATCTACCAGCAGCCCGATTCAGGGGCGAAGATTGGATCAGCTTCAAGCTTATAGATCTAAAAAATGGCGGTTGGCGAAGAAGAAGTAACACAGATTGAAGGATCCAGAAAGACAAAATTTACAGAGAGATAGGCCAATTATCTAACATGATTAAAGTCGACGGACAGAAAAAGGGACTAGGTTTGGGGATTGATTATTCGAAGGGAAAGAAAGGAAAGAGGGGGAAAGGGGGCTGAGAAAATTCCGCCGGAGATCGTAGCGATAGAGGAAATTCGCCGCCGGTGGACTTTTTTCTTCTTTCCTACTTCGGCCGCTGATTTCGTCTTCGGCCTCTCTCTATCTCTCGCTCTTTGTTTCTCTGGCTGTTCGAATCTGCAATGCAAAGCAATTTTTTGCTATTATTTTCTTCTCGTTCTTCCATTTCCTGTTTCCTTTTTTTGTTTTTTCTAATGTTTGAATTGTTAAAACAGTACGCATAGTTTCATTTATTGCTGCAGGAGTCCTCCATAGATTGTTAATGATAAACGGGTCATTTTTAATTCCTTTTGTGAATAGAAAGAGTTGATATCCATATAGAGTTGATACATTCACCAAATATGTCTATCTATTATCATTGTTTTCTGTACTCACAAGATAATTCTTTGTATTATGTTTTTCAATCCATGCATAACAAAAAATAAAAACCCCAAAATACTGTATAAGTATGTTATTTGTGGTGATTACGACTTACGAGCTATGAAGTGTCTTGACTTTTGTCTAATGTCTTGTATGTTAAAATCATATGGAGATCGTATATTGAACATATTCTTAGATGTCTCTAGGAATGACAATGAGGCGGGTATCTCGATTCTCACACCCGCCTCCGTGGCAGGTCGGATAATTTATCATATGGCGCAGGTCGGGGAAGGTCGAGCCAATAGATATGTAATTTAAATGAAAATCATCATAAATATTTGTTAGTTTCATTATAAGGCAAAGAAACAAACAATAATATGATAAATATAGTTAAATTATTCGAGAAATTAAGATTTTTACTTATTAATAATTTTATGATAGCGAAAATATGAGGTAATAAAAGAAAAATCCTAAGTAATTTGACTAATCTTACATGTAATTTAGGCGATAACAAGTTGAAAATGTGACAGGCCAGGACAGGTCGATGAGAGTACTCATACAGTCATACTCGTCCAGCTCAGCATAGACCCGCCCAAAACAAGTCTAACAGATCAAGTTAAATGGGTCATGTCAAAATTACCATTCTGTGTCTCCTATCTTGGTTATCAATCTTTTTTCATTAGTGGATTTAAGTGATCTGCTTTGTTTGGTCTCGACAACAAACTTTAATCCATGGTAGCATCATTTCATGCTCTGTCTGGGATCCCGATTCCACATTCTCTAAGATATTTGCTTTGTTGTGTAGAATCTGAAAATCGGTAAGTAAAGCGGTTATCAACTTTGTAATTCGACAATCCTTCTATAGGAGGGGTTTTCTCTCGTTTAGCGAGGGTTTGGGAGAGCGGCGGAACCCTAGGGTTTTCCGAAAGTCGGCGTGAGCAACTTCGATCTGTACTACCGAGTCCTACTAGGATACCTCATTGTAGCTCTGAAGCGTAATAGCAGAAACTCTACGGGACTGCTTCTTAAAGAGGCGGTCGAGTTTTCACAAATAGAACGAAAGAGAAGGAAAACACGGAAGCATAACGTGCTAGCCAAGTCTCGGCGCTTTTTTGGTGAAAGCAATCGCGGGGGTCGGAATGGCGGCTGCTTTGGCAAGTGATGAGATACCGGTGGAGGAGGAATCCACGAAAGATAACCTTAATCCAACAGGAGCAATCGAAGACCAGCTACACAACATCTCGTTAGAGGAAGATGACGAGGAACCTCTTGAAGTTGAAGACGGGGACGTGGATGTGGTACGGATGGAGGCGGTGAGACACCTAGGCCTGATTGGCCGCCTGGTATCAGACAAACAGCCTAATATTAAGTCGATGAAGATAGCTCTTTCAAAGGCATGGGGTCTAAAGAAGACATACCAGATCACAGATCTGCAAAATAATCTCTTTGCCTTTCAGTTTGTAGACTTTGATGATCGTAACAAAGTCTGCTACGGTGGACCGTGGCACTACGAGAATAGCATCATGGTTTTTAAAGCGAGCTGGATGATTCAGAAGCCAACAGTAGCTGACCTGCATGAAATAGACATTTGGACACAGATAAGAGGTTTCCCAGCGGAGCTGAGAACACAATCAATGGCGGAAAAAATTGCAAAACGGTTCGGGGAGTTAGTTTTCTTCGAGGACAGTGCTGAAAAGATGTGGGAAGACTATATGCGCATTAGAGTGCATATGTCCATAAATAATCCGCTAAAGAAGAAGATTAAACTGAATATTGGAGGCAAGCTGCTTGAATACCAAATCAAGTATGAAAAGCTTCCGCTCTTCTGCCACTCTTGTGGAAGAATTGGCCACGTGAAAGTAAAATGCCCTAGGCCAACACAACTGGCAGTTGACCCCTATGGATTTGATCTCAGAGCAGCACCCCCAGCCCCTCGCAATTGGCTCTCACCAGGGGCACGGAAAGCGGATGGAGAGATATGGCGGCAGCTGAGGCAGAAGTTCGAGATAGAGAGCACAGGGTCAAACAAAGAAAGTGATAAAACACGTGAGGCAGATACAGCAAACATGGATATTGAGCCCAAGACAATGGCAGTAGAGCAGGCAGGGGCAGAGAAGAGCACAGGTCAGGTAGAAAGGCCAAATAGTTGGCAATCTGCAGGTCCCGAGCCTGAGCTTAATACCATGAAGGAAACATACTCTGAACAGGGTACTGGGGAGCAGAATAAAGAAAGAACAAATGAAGCTAAACAACAACCACAGGAGAGCCAGGGAGATCAGGACAAACGACTGGGAGCGGTACAACGTTTCATTATGGGAGAGAAAACTGCTATGGAGCAAAGGAAACTGAGAGGAAAAAGTTGGAAGCGCCAAGAACAAGGGAAACCACGAGAAGGTGGAGTTCTGCAGCTAACACCTCAAAAGAGGCATGCTGAACACAAGGGGGAAATTATAAATACAGCAAAGGAGGAACAGTTGCTATCAAAAAGGGCTAGAACACTGAATTTTGGGGAGAATGAAGATAATGAAAAGGATGGACACAATACACACATGGTTGGCGAAGAGGCGGTCCCTGTCATGGAACAGGGCCGCCGAGCCCAATGAGCATTCTAAGCTACAACTGCCGGGGTCTCGGGAATACCCCGACAGTTGAAAAAATAAAGGCGCTACTGCGTCAAATAAATCCCGAAGTTGTATTTCTCATGGAAACAAGACAATATGAAGAGGAATGGAAGAAGAAAATTAGAGAGTTTGGGTATCACAGCGGAAAAGGGGTTGCAGCTGCGGAAAACAGAGCAGGAGGTCTCCTTTTGATGTGGAAAGAAGAGGTTGAAATGGAGGTTAAAAACTGTGATCTACATTTTATAGATGCTCAGATTAAAATGCCTAATTGCACGCAGGCATGGAGACTCACGGGGGTCTACGGATGGCCACAAGCTCAGTATAAATACAAAACTTGTGAGCTCTTAGAGACGCTCCATCGACAAGTGAATCTACCGTGGTTGGTAGTCGGTGATTTTAATCTGTTGACAGACTACTGGGAGAAGAATGGAAAACATAGCCCTGAAGAAAGGGAGATGGACATGTTTCGTGACTGTTTGGAGAGATGCAGATTGGAAGACTGTGGCTACTACGGCCGTACCTTTACGTGGGAGAACAACAAGTGTGACGAAAACTACACAGAAGAAAGGTTGGACAGAGCAGTGGGAAATGAGGAGTGGAGGAATCTCTACCCGAACATGTGTGTGTATCATCTGGACCGGTGCGGCTCTGACCACATACCAATTCAGATAAAGCTGGATATTGAAGAGGAGGACATTACCTGGGGATGGAGCTTCCGTTACGAACCATATTGGGAGAGACATGAAGATTGCGGGAAGTTAGTAGAGGAGGGCTGGATGGGAGTGGGAGAGGGGACTCTCATGGAACGTATTCAGAGTGTGGAGACAAGGATGAAAGCTTGGACCTCTCAAGCATTTGGCTCGCTAAAGGACAGAAGAAAGAAGGCAGAAAAGGCCCTGCGGGCACTAGAGAAAAGAAGGAGGACTAAGGCAATTCTGCTCCAGAAAAAAATCATTGAACAGGAGCTGAATGAGATTATTCTCCAACAGGAGATAAAGTGGAAGCAACGCTCTAGAGCTGACTGGCTCAAAGAGGGAGATCAGAACACAGGATACTTTCACCGTAAAGCATCAGAAAGAAGAAGGAGAAACACAATAAAAAAATTGCAGAATGAGAGGGGCCAAGTTTTTGTGGGACAACAGGGGGTTACAAGTTGTTTACTGGACTATATGAAGCGGCTGTTCAAGGCAGGAATCAGGCCAGCTGAAAGCCAAATTATGCCTGCTGTGCAAGAAAGAGTTACAGAGGAAATGAATCAAGAGCTGTTGAAACCTTTCACAGATGAGGAGATATGGATTGCGTTGAAACAAATGGGGCCAAACAAGGCCTCGGGGGCGGATGGGATGCCGGCTAGGTTCTTCCAAAAACATTGGGGAGTGGTTGGACAGGCAGTGAAAGAGGAATTGCGAAGCTATTTGGAGCAGGGGGTATTTCCACAACAATTAAATCATACCCTCATCGCTTTAATACCAAAGACTAAGAACCCAGCGACATCTTTGGAGTTTAGACCGATTAGTCTTTGCAAAGTACTATATAAGATTCTGTCCAAGGTCTTGGCTAACAGGCTAAAAGTAATTCTGGATCAGATCATTGGAGAGCAACAGAGTGCCTTTGTTCCGGGACGCTTCATAACAGATAATGCTCTAATTGGTTTTGAGTGTTTCCATGCTATGAAGCAGAAGCGGAAAGCAAAAAAGGGGATAATGGCAGCAAAACTGGATATCTCGAAAGCCTATGACAGGGTTGAGTGGGGTTTTTTGGAGGCAATAATAAGGAAAATGGGCTACGCAGACAGATGGGTGAACCTCATCATGCAATGCATTACCACGGTTTCCTACTCAATTCTCGTAAATGGTCATCAATCTGAAGTTTTTATGCCGGAGAGAGGTCTCAGGCAAGGGGATCCAATCTCCCCTTACCTGTTCCTCCTTTGTGTGGAAGGGCTGTCCGCTCTAACTGCTAAAGCAATTGATGAAGGGAAACTCCATGGAATGAAGGTCTCATCTAGGGGGCCTAGGATTTCTCATCTGCTTTTCGCGGATGATAGTATTTTCTTCTTGAGAGCCACACCACAGGAATGCCACCACCTAAAAGAAATCCTACGGATCTATGAAGCGGAATCGGGCCAAATGGTGAATCTGCAGAAGTCTGAGTTGATTTTCAGCCCGAGTGTAGCTCTGGCAAAAAGGGCTGAGTTGGC